CACGCTGGCGAATTAGCTCAAGAGTTTTCGAAGATAGGCGATTTTTTGTGGTTATCACTCTTGGCGTTCCTCGCCCATTCATGGAGGTGCTGAACCAGTCGATCGTATTCCTCGTCAATGTTGTTAACAATGGCATCTTCCCATGTTGCCGCAATAGTACCAAAGAGTTCCCAGTTGGTGGTCATTCTGGGAGTTCTCTTTTTGAACTTTGCACGCGACAGGGACAAATGGAGACGTTACTGGCACCCGCTTGAGCAAATCGATGACTAACGGGAAGTTAAGTGATTAAGTGAATCACTGTGAGATACAAAGTTACAAACTTGTTCATGAATGAATTTCGGTCAAACAATGTTCAAGTACCCATCCCTTCACCAGTGTCCACTTCCCTCCACCAATGTTCCCAGTTTCCCTTCTGCCCCACCCCCCCCCCCCCAGCCTGTCTCTATGGCAGGCATTTTTTATGTACCCTTTCTTCTTTCAAGCACTGTGTGTGATTGTCCTTCAGAATGACTTTCCCCCCCTAACATAATCAGACACTACTTTAAAAATAAAAATATTAAGGAACCAATGACAGTACCAGTGGCTTTGCAATGGACTAGCAATCACACACATACTATGGTAATGCTACAGCAGTTACTATCTTTCAACAGAGCAATTGGGCAATGCTCCTTGTGGCCTTTGACTCAATAATTCCACAAAGCAGTCACAGGCTTCCACAAAACCATTATCACAGTGCTGCTTGCTATTTGTGTGTCACCTGGGAACGACACACATAAGCATGTGCTCTACCACTGAGTTGCATACTAGTCACCACAATGTTATTTTATTAACATGTTTTGGAAACAGTAAAACTCTCACACAAAGTATCACATTAAGTAAGCTGAAGTATGGTGCTCTCTAAATTGGAACAGGACCAAGCTATTCAAAATCTACTCAGATTTTTTTTTTTATGTAATGAGAAAATGCTTCCATTATAGTATTAAGAATGAAAGGGGTAAATTTGTAAATGCAATGTGATCCAAGCATGAAAAAATAAAAATCATAACATGGGCTGAAGTGAAATTACAGAGGGTAGGACCCTAGTCTTGCATGTGTGAGGATCAGGAGTGATCCCTGAGCACAGAGCCAGGAGTAAGCCTTGACCACCACTGGATGTGGCCCCCAAACAAAACAAAATCACCACACAATTCAGATGAAAGATGAAATACACAAGTTAAGGAGTTCGGGGCTGGAGAGATAGTACAGTGTGTAAGGTGCTTGCTTTGTATGAGGCTGACCCAAGTTCAATTCCCAGCACCACACCTGGGCTCTAGAGCCTCTCCAGAACATGAGTGTGGCCCCAAACAAAACAGAAAAGTCAAGGAGTTTGCCTTGCAAGCAGGTAATCCTGGTTCAGTCTCTGGCATGTCATGTGGTGCCCCCCAGCATCAGGAGTGACCCTTGAGCATAGAGCCAGATATGATCCTGGTTCAGTTTCTGGCATGTCATGTGGTGCCCCCCAGCATCAGGAGTGACCCTTGAGCATAGAGCCAGATGTGACCCAAACATCTCCCCTTCAAAAAAAATGAGAGAAGCATACTGTATCAGAGGGGAAAGCAACATAGAAGATAACTAAACTCAGCAAACAAAAAAAATAACACATGGCTCAACTAGGTCTTCTCGCTCTGCACTCAAGGATAGATTTTTTTTTTTTGCTTTTTTTGGGTAAAACCCGGTGATTCACAGAGCTTACTCCTGGCAGTTCTTGGGGGACCATATGGGATGCTGGGAATTGAACCCGGGTCGGCCGCGTGCAAGACAAACGCCCTACCCACTGTGCTATGGCTCCAGCCTCTCAAGGATCACTCTTCATGATGCTTGAAGGACTGTATAGGGTGCAGTAGATCAAACCTGGGTCAATTATGGGTCTGGCCTGCTGTACTATCTTTCTAGTCTCTCTTCTCTTTCCTTTTTTTCTTTCTTCTTTCCCTTTTCTTTCATTCTTTCTCTTTCTCTCCCTTCCTTGATCACATGCAAAGCAATCACCCCAACCACTGTACTATCTATCTAGCCCTGTACTTTCATCTTCTAAGCATGCACTAACCTCCCTCCTCCCAAGTTTATAGCTAGTAGATTTTTGGCCTTTGTGAAGGCATTGGAAACAGCTGCTAAAATACCAGAACAGTATGTGCTCTGTGCCTCATAGGCAGCAACTCTTCCTACTGCAGATAGGGGACAAAGTTTACAGCACCTACCCTCACAGGATCTTTCCTATGCTAGGCCTTTGCCCAATAATCAAAATGTGACAGCTTTTTTTTTTTTCTGAGCCAGAATGCCACATTATATACAGCAGCTAGAAATGAGATTGGGATGTAAGCACCTTAGCTGAGGTGTTAAGTAAGCTTCATGAAAAAGGTTAAGAATAGAAAGACCTGGGGGAATCACTGCTGGCAGTGCTCAAGGGAGCATATGGGATGCCATAAATCAAACCCTAGGCCAGCCTCGGGCAAGGCCAACACCCTACCTGCTGTACTATCATTCCGGCCCCAGCTTGATGTAACTTCCAACCCTACTCCTTGAAGTCTGCAGGTCTCCTTTGGGAGTTTCCAGGAGACACATGTACCTTGCTCTGCTCTACTGTGTGCACTGTAAGAAATGGTATCAACATCTTCAGGATGCCTCGGGGTAAGCACACATACCATTACAATGAGCCCTTTCAGTGAAGTTTTGGGTTTCATTTTTTAATTTTTATATTAGTGAACCACCGTGAGGTACTGTTAAATACTTACAAATGTTGGTGTTTGCATTTCAGCCATACAATGATCGAGTACCCATCCCTTTACCAGTGTCCATTTTCCATCACCAATGATCCCAGTATTTCTCCCACCCCTCCGGCCTCTGTGGCAGGGCATTCCCTTTTGTTCTCTCTCTCCTTTTGGGTATTGTCGTTTGTAATAGAGGTATTGAGTGGCCATCGTGTTTGGTCTATAGTCTATTTTTGGCAGCTCCCAATCCAAGCGGGTCCTCCCAGCACCCTTTACTTGGTGTTCCCTTCTCTGCCTGAGCTGCCCTTTCCTCCAGCATGTGAGGCCAGCTTCCAAGCCATGGAGCAGACCTCCTGGTCCTTATCTCTACTACTCTTGGGTGTTAGGCTCCTATTCTGCTACTTTATATTCCACAGATGAGTGTGATCTATGTCTGTCCCTCTCTTTCTGACTCATTTAACATGAAACTTTCAATGTTGATACACTTATGTGCAAATTTCAAGACTTCAGCTTTTCTAACAGCTACATAGTTTTCCATTGTGTAGCTGTACCAGAGTTTTCTCAACCAGTCATCTGTTCTTGGACACTATGGCTATTGTAAACAGTGCAGCAATGAACATACAAGTGCAGATGTCATTTTGACTATACTTTTTTGCCTCTCTGTGGTATAATCCCAGAAATGGTATTGCTGGGTCAAATGGGAGCAATTTTTAATTTTTTGAGACGTGTCCATACTGTTTTCCAAAAGGGCTGAACCAGGCAGCATTCCCACCAGCAGTGAAGGAGAGTTCCTTTCTCCCCACATCCACTCCAAGACCGGTTGCTTTTGTTCTTTTGGATGTGGGAGAAGTTTTGGTTTTTTAATTTCCCCCTTTCCTGTCGAAACACACACACACACACACACACACACACACACACACACACACACAAGCAAACAGCTGCTTGCAGTGCTCACACATTTAGCTGAGGTACTGGTGAGGGTTCCTACTCAGTAGGTTGTGATACTTACCCACATAATCAGGCTCTAGTGCTCACCAGGAGATGCTTAGTATCCACACCTGTGCCTTCCTGCACCTAGTCACAGTGCTCCCATTTCTCTTGAGCAGAGGGGCTCCCTGAGAGTGACACCCTTTCCACTTGCTGTGTGCACACACACTTGGCCGGGGTGTGACTGGGAACTGCTTGTTGTGAAGGACAACCCTGACATACAGCACTTCCAGAGAGATCACATGTGCAGATTCAATCTTGAGGACTGGGCAAGAGAAAGAGCTCAGTTGGCTGACATGCAGCCTGGAATAATGTGGCCCTCCAGCAACGCTGGTTCAATTCCTCTGCCCCTCTCAGAGAGCCTGGCAAGCTACAGAGAGTATCTCACCTGCATGGCAAAGCCTGGCAAGCTACCCGTGACATATTCGATATGCCAAAAACAGTAAAAATAAGTCTCACAATTTGTAGTGAGATGTTACTGGTGCCTGCTCGAGGAAATCGATGAACAACAGGAGGACAGTGCAGTGCTACAGTGCTACAGTCTCAGTTATCACAATTAAAACTATTTAAATTTTGCCACAGACATATTAGTGTGATTGAAAAGGAGTTCCACCCTAAATTCTTCGGAGTTTAAGTAGAATATTTTACTTTATTTTTATTATTTTGTTTTTGCTATGGTCGTGCACCAAAGGGTGCTCTCAGATAACTCCTGGCTCTGCACTCAGGGATGATATGGGATGTGGGAATCAAACCCAGATGCAAGCAAGCACCCTACTCACTGCACCATCTCTCGGGAATGTTGTCAATAGTGTTTTTTAAAACTCCCCACGCGAAACCAGGTAAGTCAGAATCTTTGTGGATAAAGCATAGGTATAATTTTTTTTTTAGTGATGTAGAGGTGATTCTGAGGTATTTCGAGGTAAAAAGAAATAACCAAGGCCTACCGAGCTGCTTGTCTTATGAACTGTGTCATGCCTTTTTTTCTCTAACTCAAGACAGTTGACTACCATTAGAATTCTTTGCTTCCTCACTCTGATGAAATCTCAGATTCTACAAATCCCAAGTGTTATCCCTGATGAAATCTCAAAACTCTTTATCCCTCAGGCCTAATAATTCAATTTCTCCACCTCCCACCCCTTATCCGAATTTCTCCAAGGATGCCAAAAGGGCAGGGAATTCACTTGAGAAATACTTAAATTCTTTCTGCAAGACAGTTCACACCACATCAAACTCTTTTAGCACACAACAAAGCATGGTGAAGAACAAAACTGAAAAAGGAGAATTCACTTTAGTTTAGGCCATAATATAAAGTACAATACATTACATTTTATAATGTAAAGTGGAGCACCTCTCAGTGAATTCTAGGTTAATAAGTTAAAAACTACAATAATTTTCCAGCGAATTTTTAACTATTTGGGATACCAAAATGAAGTTCCTGTAAACAAAGTTCTTTCAAATTCCAAAGAAAACCAGAAAAGACTTTAGAAACATTAAATCAGAGATAATTTATGTTTGAAGATCAACTAAAATGTACAGTAAGGTGCACAATTTTTTAAGTACAAAAGAAATCTCTTTTGTTTTTACACAGAAGTAACTTTTTTATCTTTTCTAATGGCCATATGTAAAACCACATTTACTTTTTTTAATCACTAGCCCTGAGGAAGGATGAACAAATGTAGAGTAGTCCAGGAGGCTCCAGACTTCACACCTCTGACACTTGCAAATGGAAAATCATGGAAAAATCCAGGACACAACAACGAAGATTTCAAACACACCAATTTAAATCACTTAAAACAGACATCACATTTAGATAACAGACACAAAAGTATTTCTCTCCCACAACTGAGAACCATTTCTGTTTTTCTTTCCTTGATGGGGAGGGGGTTGCATGGACTGAACTCAGGGCCATGTACAGGCGAGCCATGTGCTCGACCACTTTGCCGATTTCCTTGGCAAGAACCATTTACAAATTTTTATCACATCTGTCTCTACAACTGACTTAACCTTTATAGCTATCATGTTGGAACTCTCAGTTCAATCTATACCAAAAGAAAGGAAAATTATTTAGCTTCATTGCTTAAGAAGTCACATTTGGCAGAGCAAATAAGTTGATGTACTCTTACACGTCCAAGAAAGATTATTTTCAAGGGAACTGATGGCAGGAAAATTATGGAATTCCATCACAATGAAAGATGACAGGAGCTGGCCTATCCTCTCAGTCATTACAATTCTTCTTGGGATGAAACGCAGAATGGCAAATTTGGCAGGACTGCTAGAAAGGAGATAAAGTTCACTCCCTAGGCCAAAAGCCCCAAGCAGCTGTTGGGAGCAGGAGAGCAATAAGAACAGAGGAAAACAGGTTCACTGCGTTGTTGTCGAGAATGGGCTTCCCTGAGATGTGCTTCACCTCCTGGGTCGGGACATTGACCACCATGCCAGTGCTTTCATCCAAACCTGCAGTGGAAAAGACACGAGTGAGGTGAAAATCTGAATAAACTGATTTAAAAAAAATTAGATTTTCTCCTCCAAAGAGGATCACCTCTGAAAGATTCACAACTTCCTATAAAATTACTTTTGAAGTCCTTCCACACCAACCCTCCCGCCACTCTGGACCTTCTAAAGATACATTAAATGACTTTAATGTATTATCCACATAGTGAGAGAGATGGTGAGGCATAAACCATTGTGGTCTCTTGTTTATAAGAGGCTCTTGAGTAAATGGCTTCCAGTGCACTGCAGTATTGTTTCTTTTCTTTGGTGGGGACTATTCCTGGTTTGGGGCTCACGGTTAGCTCCTGGCATGGGACCTCACTCAATATCATCAGAAGTTTCCTCAGTAAAACTCAGTTTTGAATAAACCTAGGCTCTTTGATAAAAGAAATAAAACTTGACAGAAACAACTCAAAAAGGTTACATTCTAACATTCCTTCGCTACTTGAAACACTAAGAAGAGAGTCAGGATATGGAAACGATACAAATGTTTAACAATGGATACACTGGTTAAAAAGAGCTGAGTTAAATGTACACAGTGAATAATACTCAGTTACAAGAAAAGATGAAATTGTCTTTGCTGCAACTTTGATTGAACTGAAGGGTATCCTATTAAGCAAGGGAAGCCAGAAAAGGACAAATACGGAACCATCTCACTCATATTTGGTAAACAAGGGGACAGATGGTATCAAACAATGACAAACCCTGGCTCTGGATTGTAAAACTAAGATTACCAAGCACTGGGGGTAGGAAGAGATGAACTACAAGTAACCTAAGGACAGAGGATCTTGGGCACCTTAGCAGTCATGAAGGTGCAGCCACTTTGTACATCAAAACCACACATGTTAAGACTACTACAACCATGTTACCTAAACTATAATAAACAATTATTATATATTTATTATTATATATAATAAACAATTATTTTTTAAAAAGCGTGAAATACTTGGCTATTTCCTTGGCAAGAACCATTTATAAATTTTTATCGCATCCGTCTCTACAACTTATTTAAACAAACAATTATATCTATCATGTTGGCACTTTTAGTTCAATATATACCAAAACACAGGGACATAATATAGTGTACAGAGTTACTGATCCTTTGGTATGTACCAAATTCAGATTTCTTCCTCCTTATCATCTTCCTCCCGCTTCCACCTTATAGGAGAATGACAAAGCACAGAGAACAAAGATTCTGATTGATGAGAGGGTGGGGGAGGGGACTCAAAATATATCTTCTTGGGGAAGGAATGACCTGGAAAGGCCAGGTGGGGAATTTTTCTCAACACCCCCAGCCTCTTCATGGGATGAGTCAGAGGAGAAAAGCATGGCTGGTTAGAGTATGGGGCCAATATACATCAAACAATATGTCAATACACTAGCATGACAGGAGTACCTCAGAAGCGAAGTACAGCAAGTTTTAGGGAAAAGTGATGCTTCCATGTATCTTATGAAACTGAAAATTTATTGGGAAGGAGAGCAAGTACAATGCTACTGTCCAAGAGTAGATATAATCAGATCAGCCCATTTCTCAAAAGGGTGTGGAAGATAGAAAGGGCATTTTTAAGATTTGATATAATGCTAAATGTTTCTCAGGGCTAAGTAAAATCGAAGAAAAAAGGCATCTGTTTCCTACACTATCATTTTCTTCTGGCATGGCCTCTACTCATTTTCTTTAAATTCATCTTTAGAAAGTTGATTAAAACTGCAGAAGAGGAAGCTGGAGAGATAATATAGTGAGTAGAGTGCTTGCCTTGCATGAAGCCAGCCCAGGTTTAATCTGATTCCCAGCACCCCATATGGTGCTGAGTTTGACCAGGAGTGTGTCAAGCCCTGAGTAGAGTACAGAGCCAGGAATAAGCCCTGAGCACAGTGGGTGTGACCCAAAACACACACACACACACACACACACACACACACACAGAGAAACTTTGTCCTATCATTATTTTTTTTTTATTTGTTTTTTTGGGTTACACCTGGCGATGCCCAGGGGTTACCCCTGGCTCTGCACTCAGGAATTATTCCTGGCAATGCTCAGGAGACCATATGGGATACTGGGAATCAAACCCCGGTTCGCTGCCTTCAAGGCAAATGCCCTACCCGCTGTGCTATCGCTGCAGCCCTTAAAAGGAGTAATTTTCATTGTGATATCTTTTTATTTTTTCCTTCCCATTTCTTTAATACAATGCCAATAAGTTGCTATAAGATACTCTTACCAGTAAATTGCATCGTAGCTCCTAAATATGAGTCCAAAATTGATCCAAGCAATCCAGCCAGACCCCCAAATGCAATAATTGGCCACTGGGGAGCAGAAAGGTCCAAATCATTAACAAAGACCAACTGCGCGAGGAAGTAAGCAATGCCGACAAAAGTGCCGCCGAGGAGACTCGAGGCCAGGCCCACCACGGTCACCCCTCCGTTGGTACCTGGAAAACAAACACACGCAGAACAACCTGGTTAACAATCAGAAAACACAAGAAGTCAAAGCAAGCAAAACATTTTGGGACTCGTTCTGGGGCCAGAGCAATAGTACAAGCAGGTCGGATGCTTGCCTTGGACGCGGCCGACTTGGGTTTGATCTCCGACAACCCATATGGTCCCTGAGCATTGCCAGGAGTAACCCCTGAGTACTGCCAGGTGTGGGCCTTCCCCACAAAAACAATTTGGTACTTATCTAACCCAGACCAATTTAAAAAAGAAGGCTGCCTTTGATGCAATCTAAAGACCATAGTCTACTTTAAAGAAATCTTTAATGCTGAATAACTCCTCACATTCTATGCAGAAAGCATGAAATGAATGGGGATATACTTCTTTTTCCCAAGCTTAGTTCTACTATTTCCATGCTGCTTTTGTCAAGAATGCACCTAACCTATCTATGGCTCAGTTTTCCTTTTTGTAAGAAGGAAATAACAAAAATAACCAATTCACATGATGATGATGATGATGGTGCATACAAAAGGACAGTCTATATAAAACACTTAAAACAGTGCTTTGTAGGGGGCAGAGAAATAGTATGGTGGGCAGAGTGCTCGCCTTGCACGTGGCTGACTGGAGTTCGATCCTCAGCACCTTATATGGTCCCCTTAGCATCACCCAGAGTGACCCTTGAGTGCAGAGCCCTGGCCACCACTGCGTATGGCCCAAAGCCAAACCAAACAGAACAACCCCCCTCCCCCCAACACCAGTGCTTTGTACATAGTAGGTACTAGATATGCTAGCTGTTAACATGGTAAGAATAGTGAAGAAAAGGAAGAAAAAGAAAGGAGGTATAAAAGGTGAAGAATAAATAGGGTGACAACAAGAAAAAATGAAAAGAGGAAAACCAGGAAGGAAACTGAGGTAGGAGAAACAGGGTTGGAGTGTATGCTCTGCATGGGAGAGGTTTGTTTTTGACCTCCAGCACCTCACTAACACTACTTGGGGTCTCAAAAAAAAAAACAAACAAACAAAACCAAAAAGTGGTCAATAACTAATCACATTAATAGGTTCACAAGGAATAATATCCTATGACTTACTGCACTCCTTTTCCTTTTTTGACACGTTAGGTCAATCTCCCAACCAAGTACTAACCGGGCCTGACCCTGCTTAGCTTCCAAGATCAGATGAGGCCGGGTGCGTTCAGGGTGGTATGGCCCTAGACTCCAGGTCAATCTCTATGTTTCTATGCTGTTGATCTAGAATTTGCTAACATATATGTAATCATCAACTTAATATCTTATGGCAATTCTCCAATTAAGACTACTTAAAAATTCTTAAAAGGCTCTTAAGCAAGCTACACAGTAAATCAAGAGCTTTTTCACTTTTGTCTTTTCAAGAATCTCAACTGAAGACTCACCCACTGGAACTTTCTCCCAGGTCGTTATCAACCTTGGTGGGCTTTTACTAAGGACGGTGCCAACTTCTGAAGCCCATGTGTCTCCGGCAGAGCAGGCCAGGGCGGCCAGGAGAGAGAGGCACATCCAGGAGGCAGTATGCTGCTTGGAGAAGTCGATGGGGATTTCACCGGGCCCATTCTCGATCATGTAGAGTAAGGCCAGCTCCGTGGGCACAGCGCCATTACAGAACACCTGAAGCCAATTTCTCTGCCCACCTAGAAACAAAAAAGTCAGTAAAGGTACTCGAACTGTCTCTGTCTCAGAAAAAAAAAACTCATGCAGTCATAGGAATGTCTATTTCAAAGTGTGAGAAGAGAAAACTCACTAAAAAAATGTCATTAAGTATCTGGAAGTGATCTGGTGCTTCAGTGTGCTTTTGTCGGTTCTGTTTTTGGGTCACACCCAGCGATGCTCAGGGCTTATTCCTGGCTTTGTGCTCAGGATTCACTTCTGGAAGAACTTGGGGGACTATATAGGGTGCCGGGGACTGAATCCTGGTATGTCACATGCAAGGCAAGTACTCTACACACTGTACTATCATTTTGGCCACTCACGTTCAGTGTTTTATAATCATTCACATTGTGATACCTGTGCTGCAATTTACATTCAAGTGTCAGTCACCAGTGATACACGTTACAACATGCAACATGTTAATGGCAGAATTTTGCTCCCCAAATTCTGCCATCACTTGCTGTTATGATGAAGCAATAGTAAATTAGATGACTACATAAGGTAGTTCTCATAAAAATCTGTTTCAGCAGTGTTAATAATATTATAACTTTGATAGTAAAAACTTTTATATTAGGATGAAATAAAGGCTATTATTTGAGATCATATCAAACATAATTCAATTTACCTTCCTTATATTCTGAATCTAGACGTTTCTTTTTTTCTCCTTTCCACTTAGTGAGTTTTGAAGAAGAAAGAAAAAATGTAAGCAAAGACGTAAAAAAGCTGAAATTTGCGATGCTTAAGATAAATCCAACCACTAGCCCTGAAAGAAACACAGAGAATTATAATTATTTTGTACACCAACTCTATGAAAAAACAATGAAAATTTAAAGTTTTCATACTATTATCTAAAAATGTATAATTTACATTTTTTACCAAACAGTAATCTGACTGTAAGCCTCATTATACTGAGATGCAATTTTTGGTTTTTTTTTTGCTTTTTTTGGGTCAACCCTGAAGATGCACAGGGGTTACTCCTGGTTCATGCCCTCAGGAATTACTCCTGGCAGTGCTCGGAGGGCCATATGGGATGCTGGGAATCGAACACTGGTCAGCCACATGCAAGGCAAATGCCCTACCTGCTGTGCTATCACTCCAGCCCTGAGATGCAAATTTTGACCCCATTTTAGAGACACATTTTAAAATAACCAAATTTCAGATTTGTCTCATTTTAGATATGTCTCATTTTAGACAAATTCAGACTACAAATTGTAGACAACAATGAATAGTTATTTTATCATTAAGAGATATTTCCTGTCATATTTGTGTAGACAGTCATTTTCAAATTAAGTGTAGCTCTCTCAGGGAAGCAAGATTATACTTTTTTGCATTTTTTCTCATGTCCATACCAACCCCATTGTACTTTTACCTGCTCTATTAAGAAAATTAAGCACTGTAGCACTGTTCTCCTGTTGTTCATCAATTTGCTTGAGGGGGAACCAGTAACGTCTCACAACAAATTGTGAGACTTGCTGTTACTGTTTTTTGGTGTGGTCCCCTCCAAAAACAAAATATAAAATAATTTGTTAAAAGACAAATTATTTTATTTTTTGTTTTTGGAGGGGACCACACCTGATGGTGCTCAGTGCTTACCCCTGGCTCTGTGCTCAACTGAGGATCACTCCTGGTGGTGATCAGATGACTATATGGGGTGCCCGGAACTGAACCTGGGTTGGCTGCATGCAAGGAAAATGCCCTACTTACTATACTATAGCTCTGGCCCCAAATGGCAAATTATTTTTATGCTTTTCAAAGACCTCTCATGTGCTCTCTGCATGACCCTCACAGATTACTTAAATAGTACTTAAGTTTACTTTTTGTACACTGATCTGTAAAAATAACTGGATTTCACAATGAGCCAAAAACAGAATATATTTAGTGAATGTAATTTTAAATTTTCAGATTTCTCTTTCCTTTGTCTGGTAAAACAAAGAAGGACATATCCTCCATTTTAACAAGAATAACCAATTTCAAGGAAGGTTTATAACACCTTCAAATATAGAAGGAAACAAATATAGACTCTTACATTTCATGACATAAGAGAGGGAAAGAGGACTAGAGCAAGAGTTCAACAGGTAGGGCAGTTGCCTTGCATACAGCCAAACGGGTTTGATCCTTGGTACCCTATATGGTCCCTGAAGCCCCGCCTTGCATGATCCCTAAACACAGAGCCAGGAGTAATCCCTGAGCACTGTGGATGTGCCTCACTGAGAGAGAGAGAGAGAGAGAGAGAGAGAGAGAGAGAGAGAGAGAGACAGAGACAGAGACAGAGACAGAGACAGAGACAGAGAGACAGACAGACAGAGACAAAGACAGAGAGAGATAGCAATATGAGGATACTGTAATCAAATGCTAAGTAAGACATGCTTGGGACTTAAAGAACTGTAGATTACTTATGTTATAAAGCCGAGGGAAAGTGCAAACAAATGTTGGAATTGGCTTTTTAAGTCAAACAGGTAATCTTCAAAGGCTTTTTACTATAAAAATCTAAAAATGAGTAAAACTTGATGGTGTAAATAGAGAAGTGGGTCGTGCCAAAGAGATAGTACTTAAGGTGCTTGCCTTGCATGCAGCTGACCGGAGTTTGATCCCCTGAGCACTGTGGGAATGAACCCTGAGCAGCAGAGCTAGTTGCTGTCTCTGAGCACTGCTGGGTATGGATCCTCACCCCCACTTCCCCACATGCCTAAAATAAAATATTCATACCTATTACCACAGTGGTAAGTGAACCCAACAAAAATGAATTAGAGGAGTCCAGTTATAGCTCGATAGTAAAGAGCCTCCCTGGCAAGGATGATCCCGGATAGACCCCAGGTCCCACCTATATGCCAGAGTGGAATCCCAGTGGACCTGCTGTCCTGGCTCCCCAATGCTACAACCCCACGGTGTGTGGTTTCACCACACCACAATCAAGTGTGTGTGAGCCCTGCAAGTATGTGTGCAAACCATGGTGAGCACACAAGTGTACAAGCAGTGCAACCAAATGAAGGGGACTCTCTGAAGTCACAGGAACAACCAAGGGAAAGAAAGTGGGGGAGTGAGAGGACTCGAGGCGGCTGGAGGAGTAAGAAGCATCTCGAATTCATCTTCAAGCAAGACTGGCACAGGCAGAGCCTGCCTGGTTTAACCAGCATTCCAGCTGGCCTTCTAGAACCCAGGCCTGCCACTTCACGGGGGAGAGGGGGGTTGAGGGGTAGGGGGGAAGGCTAGAAGGGAACAGAGAGCACTTTACTTGGTCTGTTTCAGCTTCTCACAGCTTCTCAGCTGGGAGGCACCTCATCTTCCAAACCACAGGATGTGTGCTCTGTTCAGCGGTTGCTGCTTCGAGACAGACTGATAGCCACTGTGGCACTCCACTCCTCAGTGCCAGGCCCTCCCAGTCTGGCTGAAGCAACTTCCAGAGGATTTATGGGCTGGCCCCAACTCCCTTTTGGGAGAAATGTGTTAAATACTCGGGGCAAGACAATAAGAACAAAAGTACTACTCAGGGGGCTGGAGTGATAGCACAATGGGTAGGGCATTTCCCTTGCATGTGGCCAACCCAGGTTTGATTCCCAGCATCCCTGAGCACCGCCAGGAGTAATTCCTGAGTGCAGAGCCAGCATCACCGGGTGTGACCCAAAAAGAAAAAAAAAAGTATTACTCAAACAATTGCATTTACTGGGGAACATGTAGTATAACCAGAAGTGTGAGCTCAGAAAAGGCTGAGAGACCTCATATCCTTAGGCTGACCCCTGGGAGAGATAGCCTGTGAGAATCACAAAACAAAACTAAATCAGTGAAGAATCTGATTTTCAGAGTTATCCTGTTATTAAATTTGAATGCCCAGTTTTAACGAAACTGTCACAAAGGATACAAGAAACAGAAAAATATGACCCAAAGGGGGAGGGGGGAAGTAAATCAATGCTCAGAAAAGTCAGATGGTACACCTACTTCAATATTTTAACAACTGTGTTAGAGATGTTCAAAGAATTAAAAGAAGAAGTGAAGAAAGTTCACAAAACCAGCACACTAATGAAAAAAACCCTGATAAGAAGTGTCATCAATAATGGTAAGAAATGGAGTTGAAAAGCAGTGTTACTGAAATGAAAATTTCAGTAGAGATTCAAAAATTTAGTAGATTTCAATGCACGCTTGAAGAGACAACTTGACTACATGACAGTGAAAATCACTGAGTCTAAAAGTGGAAAGAAAAAGGTAGAGAAAAAATGAGCAAAGCCTGAGGGCCCTGGGAGATATTCTTCAATGGAATCAACCCCATCTGATAGTCCCAGAGGAGAGGCGGAGAAGGGGGCAGAGAAGCTACTTGAAGAACTAATGGAGGAAAAGCCTGCCAATTCTCATACAGCAAAGCTTCCTGTCTCATGATAGAATATCTGTTTCTAACTGTTTTTGTGTCATGCCTCATGAGACTGGCTCCTGGTGGTGCATGGGGCAGCACATAGCACTGGGGAGTTAAAACCTGGGCTTGGGGCTGGAGCCCCAAGGGGTAGGGCGTTTGTCTTGCATGCGGCCGACCTGGGTTCGATTCCCAGCATTCCATATGGTCCCCCGAGCACTGCCAGGAGTAATTCCTGAGTGCAAAGCCAGGAGCAACCCCTGTGCATTGCCGGGTGTGACCCAAAAAGCAAAACAAACAAACAAACAAACAAACAAACCTGGGCTTCCTGCACTCAACGTGTGGTCCAGCATTTTGAGCTATCTCCCAGATATAACCTTTTTAATATGTATTCTGATAGCCCAATTACATTGCTTTTATTTATTTCCCCTTCCTCCCCGTCCCCTACTCATGACTTTAGGGTAACTGAGAGTCGCATATACGTCTGACTGCAGTGCTGGTTGGGGGGGGGGGTGTCACACATCAGACTGTAATGCTGGCACATTTCTGCATCGGGGCTGCACTTCTTCACTCGTAGCACATGCACATATGCTCACTGTGGGTGGCACTCTGTTTTCAGCTCTGGTGCTTGCCTGGAGCCCATACTCCTGGCCATGGTGCTGGCATATCTCTTGAATTTCAATGTTTGCCAAGGGAATTGCACTGCAGTTGAGGTACTGGCATCCACCTGCCCACGGTGCAGCTGAAAATGGCTTGTGGTGCCAGGCACACACAGAAGAGCAGCCAGGACTGCATTCAGCACAAGTGGGCAGCCCCACCAAGAGCAGTTCTTGAGTGACACTGGGTGTGGCTCCCAATTGCCAATTGCACAAGTTTTTTTTTTTTTTCTCCTTTTTGGGTCACACCTAGCAATGCTCATGGGTTACTCCTGGCTCGTGCACTCAGGAATTACTCCTGGCAGTGCTCAGGGGACCATATGGGATGCCAGGGATCAAACCCGAGTCAGCTGCAAGCAAGGCAAATACCCTACCTGTTGTGCTATCGCTCCGGCCCCAAATGCACAAGTTTTTAATAATGAGGTGAGTACTGATTTGGGGGGGGAGTGGTTTGGGGTCACACCTTGCAGTGGTCAGGGCTTACTCCTAGCTCTGCACTCAGGGATCCGTCCTGATAGTACTTGGAGGACCACATAGGGTGCCAGGTATCAAAGCTGGGAGCCCGGTACAAGGCAAAAGTCCTACCTGCTATACTATCACTCTGGCCTCTGAATTTTTTTTTAATGAATAACAGTGGGGTACAGTTATAGACTTACAAACTTTCATTCTTCTGTTTAAGTCATACAATGATTGAGTACCCATCCTTCACCAGTGCCCATTCTCCACCACCAATGATCCCAGTATCCCTCCCACCATCCCTACCCTATATCCTCCACCCCACCCTGCCTCTGTGGCAGGGCACTGACTTTTGCTCTCTCTCTCCTTATGGGTGTTGTGGTTTGTAATAGAGGTATTGAATGGCCATAATTCAGTCTGTAGTCTACTTTCAGCACGCATCTCCCATACTGAGCGGGCCCTCCAAGCACCCCATACTGGGTGGTCCCTTCTCTATCTGAGCTGCCTTTTCCCCCAGCATGTGAGTCTGGCCTCTGAATTTAAAGCTGGTTAATTCTGTACCAAATAGACACCATTTGCGGAAGTAAAACAACACTGTTTACAAACGTCTCTGGTGGGAATAGAATTACATCCCAAATTTCCACCAATGTAACCTGGGTATATTCTTTGGGAGACAGAAATGTCAATTTATAGTTTAATAAACTCAAATCTAATGAACTGCATCATAAATAATTAGCCAAGAGAAAAAGTGTGGAATCAAAATATAAAACCTAATGGCCAAAGAATGAAATATTGGCAGACTTGTCAAACACTGCATAAGACGAGATACTCTCGGTAGCTTGCCGGGCTCTCCGAGAGGGGCGAAGGAATCGAACTTGTGTCGGCCATGTTGGCTGCGTGCAAGGCAAATGCCCTACCGCTGTGCTATTGCTCCAGTTCCCAGATATAAACTATGGTGATAAAATGAGGCTAGGGGATAGACAGATAGTATAACGGGTAAGGTGCTTGCCTGGCACACAGCTGATCTGAATTTGATCCCCACCACCCGAATTGATTCCTGAGCTCTGCCAGGAGTGATCTCTTGAGCACACAACCAGGAATAATCTCTGAGCACTGCCAGGTGTTGCTCAAAATCAAAACAAACAGAAACCAAAAAAGAGGTTAGGACTCCTTTGTAAGTCCACATAGAACACAATCATTTTTTCCCCTAATACTTCTTTGTTCTGCACTTAGAGCCTCTCCTTCTGGGAATTAAATGCTTCAAGAAGCAATGCTTTAGCACGCCGTCACTCAATAGAAATGAGTTCTTTGTAGTGGATTTTTATCGACTCTGTCCTTATGTCTTGGTCCCTTCACACTGGTAGAACATGAAAATCCCAGTGTCAAATAGGATCAAACCAGATCTGGAGCAATAGCACAGAGGGTAGGGCACTTGCCTTGCACGCGGCTGACTGGGGTTTGATTCCCAGCATCCCATATGGTCCCCTGAGCACCGCCAGGAGTAATTCCTGAGTGCAAAGCCAGGAATACCCCCTGTGCATCACCAGGTGTGACCCAAAAAGAAAAAAAAAAAAGGATCAAACCATTTTCCTGCTTTGAGGCTGATGGATTCCACCCAGATTGGAAGAATCATTTTGTGTCTCACAAACCTCCATATTACCGAGCCCTTCCATACTTCGTTAGTTTTTCCTCTCACTACTTTTTGGTCAAATGAGTCTTATCCTCTGTCGGGGCGACAGTACAGCTGGTAGGGCATTTGCCTTGCACACGATTGAACTGGGTTTGATCCCTGGCATCCCATATTGTCACCCAAACACTGCCAGGAGTAACCCCTGAATGCAAAGCCAGGAGTAACCCCTAAGTATCGCTAGGTGTGACCCAAAAGCCAAAACAAAACAAAAACCCTAAAGCTGTTTCTTGCTCAAACCTGTGTCTTGCCTGAGCAACTCAAAGAAGAAAGGAAGAACATTTTCAGGAAGAGTGAAACATAGTAAGAACTCAAAAAATATCTGTAACCAGAATAAATGACCTTCAACTGAGCCCTGAGAAATGAACTGAGAACAATTTGGACTAATATGCTTGAGACTCCTACTAGCAATTTCCAAGGTCTATTTTTTCCAATGTTTCGTCTACTAGGATGAATATCTCTCCAATATTTCTGCTGGTAGACTATTTAAGTAAAGGTGCAACACAGTTAAGGTTCTCATAAATCTATCTACTTGTTATCAACTAGATCTGATTTATGTTTAATAGCAACATTTGCAGATTACACTAAAAGATTCATTTAGCATCTAGAACACTGACACATAAATGCTGAATAGTAAGTGCATTATTTTATTACTAACTATATAATTCATGATTTATAGTCAAATTCAGAATTTAGAAAACATGAATTTCTATCATATAAGAAAACACTTACTTGGTTAAATATTCAAAATATAACATACCTCCTAAAGCCCCACTGTGATCGAGACTTTTCTTCTTAAAGCCATTGAAGGTGATCAAAACAGGAACAACAACAGAAAAGAGCCATCGCCAGGGAGAAATAGGCCGTAAGTTACCTGAAAAGTTACAAAAGCAGAACATAATTGCCTCAAGCCTGCTTAAGTTCGTCTTGATCCTAAGACCTGATTAATGTATTCTGGATTAAAGTACTGGCATAAATGACAAAAAGTGGATTTGGAAAGCATGTGTAATTATAGTAATGGGTTTTCATGCATATTTAGAGATAAGAAATGAATTTCTGGTTATTCTTATTATTTCGGAAGTTTGGGGGCCACACAAGGGGATGCTCTGGGCTATTCCGACTCGGAGCTCAGGGCTCACTCCCTAGAGGTGTTGGGAGACCATATAGAGCACCAAGGTTGGCGGCTTGAGCCACATGCCTCCTCTATGATCCAACCCTCTCCAGTGTTTTTCAAAAGTCACACATTTAATCTCAACAACTACAGAGAACTCCTTTTTTAGTAGATTCTAACTACAACTCTCTGCCTTTCAGAAAGCACTGATTTTGGACCATGTGGTGACAGGAATGGAACCAGGGCCTCACACATGCAAGGTTAAGAGCTCTACCACTAGAGTTCCAGTCTGAGATTTTTTTTTTTTAAAATAACTATTCTTACTGGCAACACATCTCAAGATTCAGTGTTTCAGCAACTGATTCTCCCCATAAACAAAACAAAGGCATCCCTGTTCAGAGACATTCTGTTTGGCTTGCAAAAGTTTTTGAATTATTTGAGTCACTATTTCAAGATTAGGAAATATCATTTTTTAAAAAAAAATCACATTCTTGGCTTCTATTTTGAAGACTGGAAGCTCAGGCCACATGGTAGAACTTCTGAAGACAGACTGACTCCTTTTCAGAGTGTAAATTTCCCATTTAAAGAAACTCAGCCAGGGGTAGGAGCGATAGTACAGCAGGTAGGGCATTTGTCTTGCACACAGGAGACTTGGGTTCGATGCCTAGCACCCCATATGATCTCCGGAGCATCACCAGGACTAATTCCTAAGTATAGAGCCAGGATTAAGCTCTAAGCATCACCAGGTGTGACCCAAAAGTCAAAAAAATAAAAAAATAAAGTTACTCAGCCTGAATGTATAGATCCGAGTGGGCGGGTGGCAAGGTAAACTATTGTTTGTGCTGCTGTTTGTAAAAAAAAAAAGGCGAAAAGTAAGACAAAGAGGGCCAAATGTTCAAAAAAGGGGGGAAATTCTGTTTTTAATAGCACTGTCCTCTCGTTGTTCATCGAGTTGACTGAGTGGGCACCAGTAACGTCTCCATTGTGAGACTTGCCGTTACTGTCTTTGGCATGCCAGGCTCTGCCATGCAGGCAAGATACTCGCGGTAGCTTGCTGGGCTCTCTGAGAAGGACAGAGGAATTGAACCCGGGTTGGTCGCGTGCAAGGTAAACGCTCTACCCACTGTGCTATTGTTCCAGCCCTGTTCTAGTAATGAATATTATTCCATGTACTATAATAGACAGAGTTGGGTGGCTTAGTTCACTGCACTAAGACTCTGAGCCCTGAGGAACATTACAGTTGACAAATACTGAGTTTGATATAGTTCAAGTCTTAGATAATACTGGAATTAGGGTAATTTTCTCTCATACCTCTCCACCTCAAAACTTCATCTCCTACTGTTACTCATTACGAATGATTCAGGAAGCTTTTGAACACTGGAGAACAGCCACTAGATTGTTCATATGGCTCTTTGCAAAAGGTCTAAGATCTGAAATGGTAATCATTTATCACATAATCACACGTAAGAAGTTTCTCAGTCTACTTTTCACATTTTTCCTGTAAGCTGAACAAACTATTATAGGAGTACCAGGGAAGTCTTACTTTTTTTTCTTTTGTTTTGTTCTGTTGCTACACCGGGCAGTGCTCAGGGATCACTCCTGGCAGGCTGGGGAGACCACATGGGGTGCCAGGATGAAACCCAGGTGACCCTCATACAAAGCAAGGGCCCAACCCGCTGTACTACTGCTCCAGTCCCGACATACTTATATCATGATGCAGCTTCACAACCTTAAAGATTTGAAGCCACAGTGTTTTAATACTTTACATATATGCAAAAAGGAGTCTTTTCATTTAAACAACCAAAAAGCAGACAAGTTTTCCACATTTCTAAATACAAGTATCATGCCACATTTAATTTTCACTGTTTTTTATGACACTGATAAACTACGTGATTAAAACTTCATTAAAAAGTACCACTGCAGTTGCTTTTCAAAACTCATTCATCTCACTTATCTTTAACCAAGGGAGATGTAATCACTAGGAATTATTTTAATTTTGAAACTGGTTTAAGACACACACAGCAGTGAGCCAGAGCTGTGGCTCAGCAGAAGAGTGCCTGGGTCCCAACCTTAATACAACAAAAAAACAAAAGACCGACAAAACAAAACCACACAGATTGAGGAATGATTTGCAATGTTCCAGGTACTGGTTCGATTTTCCAATTGGTAAATTAAATTCAGATTGTGAGTAGAACACTTCCTAACTATTTAAAGGTTGTGAATTTCAAATGTCACAATTGTACAATTTGGACCGCAGGGCAAAGCCTAGCAAGCTACCCTGAGGTATTAGATATGCCAAATACAGTAACAAGTCTCACAATGTTACTTGGCCTGCTCGAGCAAATCGATGAACAATGGGAGGACAGTGACAGCGACAGTACAATTTGGAGTTTCACCTATTAGGATTTTAAAAAAAAATTGGCGTGAACACTTAAGACTTACCATAATAGGTACTTGCAGTCATGGACATAATCCAGAACGCTAAGGAAATGCAAATGATCAGGCTCAATATAACAATATTAGTTATCATCTTTATGTATTTTTTGCATATGCCGTCGTCAATATTGGCCATGGAAATCAAGGATTACAAGCACCTGGGGGAGAAAACACAACGCGTTTCTGACAGTCAGATAAATAAAAGCGATTTACGCCGCGGGCAAACCACTGGAACGTCAGTGCAGTACATAATCTGTCCCATCTTCCCAGGACTGATACAAAGTAGCGATGATCCCAAACTATTTCTGGACCCGTCTGCGGGTGGAGCACTAAGGGGTCGGGGCGAGACTCACAGCTCCCCGCGAGCGCTCGGGTGCATCCTTGAGTAAGTACCCCGACGGCTTGCACACGGCGGCTCTAGCCCACACCTGAACGCCGCCGCTGGAGGCCGAAAGGGAAACAGAGGCAGCCAATGGGCGCTCGGCGCAGGCCGAGCTCCGCCCCCGCCGCCTCCGGACCGTCGACTGCGGGCCGCTCGCTGGCCAGGGGCTGGTTGGTGAGCCGCGATCCAGGTAACCCCCCTGGCCGCAAATCCGGCGCAACGAAGCACCGTCACGTTGCCGCTCACGGCCACCCGGCCCAGACCACACGTCCTGGTCTCGGCCGCCGGCCCTGGAGCTCGGCCCCCCACTGCCCGGATCAGCTTGGCGGGCGACGCAGCCCCAACGCGCATGCGCCGCAATGGCCCGCCCACGTCGCTCACGTGAGCGCTTAAAGGGCGGCCCCAAGGGCCGGCGGTCGGGGTTGGTTTATCTAGGGCACCTGGGCTCTGTGCGTTTAAAATTTCTTAAGTTTATTCTTACTAGCTACCGTGTTTTACGAAGTTGTTCGTAATAGACTGGTTTCAGGCATTCAATAGTCCAACACTCGTCCCACCATCAGTTTGGGAGACCATTCACCAGTGTCCCCAGGTTCCCTCCCACCCCCAGCCTGCTCCCTTGGCAGGCATCTACCAAATTAATTTCATTAGGGCTGGAGCCATAGCACAGCGGTAGGGCGTTTGCCTTGCATGCAGCCAACATGGCCGACCCGAGTTCGATTCCTCTGCCCCTCTCGGAGAGCCCGGCAAGCTACCGAGAGTATCTCTCCCACGCGGCAGAGCCTGGCAAGCTCCCCGTGATGTATTTGATATGCCAAACACAGTAACAACAAAGCCTCCAATGGAGACGTTACTGGGCCTGATCGAGCAAATAGATGAACAACGGGAGGATAGTGATATAGTGATTGCTTGATCCAACAAAACGTAAGGAAATGGCAAAGGGAATTATCAGAAGATATTTTTAAAAGTCAGTTGATTGGGGGTATGGTGCTGCCAGCAGGTCAATCTGTACTTGTGAGGCAAGTGCATCAGCAGCCTGATGGTGCCTTCAGACTTCCAGATACCCCAAAATTGCTGCTGTGCCTCTGGCCAGACCCCAAAAACTTGGGGAAAAGTTTATCAAGAAAGTAAAAGGCCAAAAGTTAGGTATGTGGGAAACACACCCACAAACCACCTGGGGGCTCAGCTATATAATTGGAGGCATGGCCTCTCTGGTTCCTGATTGAACTGCTTAATGGCCATGATCCCAGAGACTCAGAAATAAATCTCGAAATCCAGTGGCTTTTGGCAGAAATGCATCTGGTCCCTGCAGTAGGTTACCGGTGCTGGGCCAACCCAGGTGGGAATAGATTTTGTGCCTTGGACTGTTCCCCCCGGCAGCCCAGTAGCCGCCATCCTTCAGAGGTCACTGGACAATCAGGTTTGGGCCCCCAGTGACGAGACATACAGGGCCTCACGGGATGGGGGTGGAGCTGGTACTATCCTCCTCACCCCAATGAGACCCCAAGTCATCGCCCACGAACTGCCTCCCTGGCTCCTGATCAAGCTGCTTAACGGCCATGATCCCAGAGACTCAGAAACAAATCTTGAAACCCAGCGGCTTTTGGCAGAAATGCGTCGGTCCCCACGGTACGTTACTGTCGCTGGGCCACCCCTGGGGGGAAAGGGTGTTGTCCCTCTGCCTGCTCCCCCTTGGCGGCTCGGTGGCCGTCATCCTTCAGAGGCCAATGACGAAACTTGTTGGGCCTCACAGGATGGGGTTGGAGCTGGGTCTGGTCTCCCCGTCCCAACGAGACCCCAAGTCATCGCCCATGAACGACCTCTCTGGGTTCTGATCATGCTGCTCAACGGCCATGATCCCAGAGACTCAAGAACAAATCTCGAAACCCAGTGGCTTTTGGCAGAAATCCCTCCAGATTTAAGTGTTAAAATTTTGGAATTTCAAAATCATATGGCCCTACTGCAGCCACGCGACATCATATGTTATTCATAACCAGCAATAGAACACAAATTGTCTACTGTTGCATTTTCAGCAGATCTGAGTGCTAGGGTAAAATCTCAAATAATAATGGTGGGTCTGGTGTTGAAATATTGAATGGGATCAAAGTAGAGAGAGAGAGTAATGTGGAAATCATCTGCCCCACAGGTAGGGGGAGGGTGTGGAATGGGGATATACTGGGGTTTTTGGTGGTGGAGAATGGGCACTGGTGAAGGTACAGGTGTTTCATTGTATGATCGAGACTTAGACCCGAAAGCTTTGTAACTGCTCTCACGGTGATTCAATAAATAAAATTATAAAAAATGAAAAAAAAAGTAAGGTGGAGTTCATGCACAATTCAATCAGCTAATCAGTGGCTGAATAAATAGCAGTACTCCTACATAAAAAAAAAAAGTCAGTTCATGGTGATTGTTGTATGATTTTAAGCCGTGTAAATAAAGCTCATTTATTACAATAGAATATAAACCCTTTTCTCATTTACATAGATAAGTTTTCAACTCTGGCATCTAAAATATATTGCATTACATTTAATTTTGTATTTGGTTCTTATTGTGGTGATTGCCTGTCTTCCCTGTCACAAGTAAAGCTTAAAATGAAAATTTCTATGCTAATATATTTTAGTGCTTACATGAAATAGGCAAAACCTGCACATGTAAAATTTAGTGAGTGAAAAGAATTAAGGAAATATCAAGGGTAAAATCTGAGTAGACATATCAAAGTGAGTATTTTATCCTAGAAAAGGAAATATTGATTTTATATGAAAAAATATTATAGATACTGCTTTAGTGTCTGCATTAGTAAGTAAAAGATTGCTATAAAAATCCCTATGGATGTAAAAAACTGATCAGACATAGAACATTCAATATAAATGAGACATTAATTCATTATTGAAAATGTGTAAAATCCCTTAGCAAGTTAAAAGCAGACATACCCAGGTTGATCCCTGGCACCTGGTATTGTGCCCTGAGTGCCAAGCCAGGACTAAGTCCTGAGTACCGCCAGGTGTGGCCCCAAACCCCCAAAATAAAAATAATAAAACATAAATTTTTATTTAAAAAACACATGATTCTACATTTGATAATTAAATCTTCCTTCCTTCCTTCTTTCCTTCCTTCCTTCCTTCCCTCCCTCCCTCCCTCCTTCCTTCCTTCCCTCCCTCCCTCCCTCCCTCCTTCCTTCCTTCCTTCCTTCATTCCTTCCTTTTTTCTTTTTTTTTGTCACATCTGGCAGTGCTCAAGGGCTACTCCTGACTCAGGGATCACCCTAGGCCACGCTCAGAAGATCTCATGATCTTGAGGATAGAAGTTGGGACTTGAGCATTCACTCTTTAGTTCTTTGTGCATCTTTCTGGTCCCTAATGTTTGAGGTATTTTTAGATTTTGTTTATTTTGTTTTGGGGCAAGCTCATCAGTGTTCAGGAGTTACTCCCAGTTCTGTGTTCAAGGTTGAGATGATGCAATGCTGGGATTCAAATCCACACTTCCCTCATGCAAAGCATTCACTACGTCTCTCAAGGTTTCTCTCTAGCTCTAGTTTGATATTTTCATAGACTCTGATGATCTTAAAAAATTTCAACAGAGGGCCTTGATACATAATATAGCACACCAGGCACTTGCCTTGCTCATGGCTGACCCATGTTTGATCCCTAGCAATCCATATGGTCCCCCAAGCACCACCAGGAGTAATTCCTTGGGGGCAAGAGATAGAACTGACCCCTGAGGACCACTGAATGTGTCCCCAAAACAAAAAACAAAACAAAAATTCAACTGGGTGAGAATATAGTGGTAAGGCATTTGCCTTGCACATGCAGACCTAGGTTCAATCTCTGGCATCTCCTATAGTGCATGAGCTTCCCAGCAGTAATCCCTGAGTGCAGAGCCAAGAACAGACCCTGAGCACCTCTGGTTGTGACCCCAAAATAAAGAAACAAACATTTAAAAAAATTTCGACAGCACCAGGAGTATATCTCAGCAGTAGAGCACTTGCCTTCCTTGCAGATGTGAGGCCCTGGATTCTATCCCCAACACCATGTCAAAAAAAAAAAAAAAAGGAAAAGGGAATGAGTTAGGGCAATGCCAGCCTAATGGTGTTCAGGGCTTACTTCTGTCTTTGTGCTCAGGAATTACTCCTGGCAGTGCTCAGGCGACCATACGAGCATGGAGTTGGGGGTGGGGTGGGGGTCAAACTGGGGTTGGCTATGTGCCAAGCAAGTGCCTTAATTATAAAACTTCTATACTCTCTGATTCCAAGAAAAGAAATTTTCAAGTCTTTCTCTAATTTATCCATTTATTTTTTGGGGTTGGCCATACCTAGCATTGTTTGGGCATCCAAACTGGCTCCTACACACAAAGCATATGTTTCAGCCCTTTGAGCCATATCCCTGACCAAAGAATTTCTCTACTTTAAAAACTATTTTCTAGCAACATGGAATTTCTGATTAAGCATCTCCTAAATGATGCTAAGATATATTACTCCTCACCAAGCAGGGAATCATATTGCCATGTGTTCCACCCCAAGGAAGGAAGTTAGGGAGGGAGGGAGGGAGGGAGGGAGGGAGGGAAGGAGGGAGGGAGGGCAAAAGGAAGAAAGGAAGGAGGGAAGGAAATTTCATCTTCATAAAACTGTGAGTGCATTAAAAAGGCTCTGAAAAGTTAAGGATCATAAACACCTTTGCTTAACTCTTTGCAGCAATTCAATCATATTCCTGTTTGAGAAATCATGAATTAAAGAATTTCTACTGAAAGGCGTTGTTACACTAGTAATCTTTGATTAATTTTACAATAAATATACCATTTAGATTTAATTGTTGATATAAATGATTTTGTATTTTTTGTTTTGTTTTTATTGTTTGTATTTTTTGCTTTTTGACGATACCCAGCAGTGTTCAAGATTTACTGCTGGTTCTGTGCTCAGGGATCACTTCTGGTGGTGCTGAGTGACCACACGCCATGCCATGGATGGAATCTGGGTCCAAGTACCCTACCTGCTCTACTCCAGCCTACAATTTTGAATTTTTCTGGCACTGACATTTGGCATTTAACATAATTGTAAAAAGAATCCCAATGACAAAAACACTTTCCATTGCTAGGAAAACATAGTATATATCTGAAGACTCCATTTAATTCCTTTAAATCTATGACAAAGAAATGTTTTGACTTTCTAGAACCTATTTTCTTTTTTTCCTCTTTTTGGGTCACACCAAGAGATGCCTAGGAGTTAATCTTAATCTTGGCTTTGCACTCAGGAATTACTCCTGGCTTTGCACTCAGGAATTACTCCTGGCAGTGTTCAGGGGATCATATGGGATGCTGGGAATCGAATCCGGGTTGGCCACATGCAAGGCAAACACTCTACCTGCTGTACTATTGCTCCAGCCCCTAGAATCTAATATTTTAATGCCTAAGGTATATTTGTTAGATTCTTCAGGCACCAATAGAAAAAAATAGATCCAGACATTGGCTTGTTCTTCAAACCCGTTATCTCTTGAACATGTACCTTACTTTCTTGTTTCCTTCTTATTCCTGCTCTAGAGATGTTCTCTCTTGAACACACACTTCTCCCTCCCTCTCTCTCCTCTCACATTTTTCTAAATAAGTTTCAATAAAAATGATCTTGCTTCACCAACACAATCATTGCATTGAAGGAATATGGATGAAAACAGGTATGTAGAAAATTACACAGTAAATGGTGATTTTATCTAAATTATGTATAAAATAGGACTCAGGGAGAGAAGCACTTGTTATTTTGGTTTGTTAAAGGAAAGTGTCACATAGTAGAAAGTGTCAGAGCTGAGTTGAAAATTATTGAACTAAAAATTCATCTGAGATAGAAGCACATATCTGTTTTCTTGACATTAACCTCAGAGATCTTTACGTCATTCTCTACAGTGCAGGAATCAAATATAAGTTCTCATGGTCACAGGAATCAGACTTGGGCCTCCCATATTAAAAACATGCATTTCAGACCTTTGACCTATCTTCCTGGCTTCTCAACTAAAAGCAATTTAAATTGAGGCACTAACAAGCTAAACCTTCCAGAATACATAAATAATCCTTTATTATCTCTTGATACCTTTATTCTTATTCATGAGGTTAGATATCAAATCAAAAAGGCTTCTAAACATTATATTCATCTATATATCAGAAACATCTTTCATCATTTCCAGAGTGGTTAAAGTTACCAAAACGTCTACAGTAGATGCCAATCACCCTTGCCCTGCAGATTGCCACAAGGCATACTGAGAAGCAGGTGAATAAGGCAGAGGTGCAGAATTCCAAATGAAGGAAAATCCCAGAAGTAATACAGCCACTGTCCAAAATGATAAGAATATTATGCTCATCTTTACACCTATTCAGACTGTGCAATCACGGAGTAATTTGGGAATAAATACATGATTTGTAGTTATAAAAATAACTGGCGTTTTGCTGTATACTTTCCTCAGAGAAGCTTTCAAGGTGGTTTTTGAATGGTTTTGTTTTGGGGCCACACCCAGCAGTACTCAGGGCCTACTCCTTGCTCTGTGCTCAGGGATCACTAAGCTTGTCTTAGATGAATTTTCAGCTCAATAATTTCATCTCTGATACTCCCTAGTATATGATGCCTTTCTCTTTTTTTGGTGACAATTTCCTTTAACGGGACTGACAGCACACTGGGTAGGGCGTTTGCCTTGCACGCGGCCGACCCGGGTTCGATTCCCAGCATCCCATATGGTCCCCTGAGTACCATCAGGAGTAATTCCTGAGTGCAGAGCCAGGAGTAACTCCTGTGCACTGCCAGGTGTGACCCAAAAAGGAAAAAAAAGAGAATTTCCTTTAACAAATAAAAATGATAATTGGGCACTATATGGGATGCCAGGATCAAACCTGGGTCATCCATATGCAAGGCAAGCAAGCATCCGACCCACTGTACTATCTCTACAGCTCCCAATTTTCAAGACAATCTTTTAAAAATATTAAACCATTTCTATTTTGTAACTTATTAAATTAAAACACTTTCATAATCTAATATACAAATAAATCTTTGTGTGAGCCTCAAATTATTGTCAGGACAGACAAATATTTTTCTAGTTGTTCATTCCTCCGATATAAACAGTATCTAAAATAGTACAAATAAATATGCTTAAGTACATAACAGGCAATAAAAATGAAAATAAACCAAGGTGTTGAGCATAGTTCAGGACTGCTTCCCTGTCCTGGTAATTAAACTTGGGGATAATAAGTCAAGGGTTGGGACTAATGACTGGGTAGGAGTTATTTCTCTATTTCCCACCTAGCCGACAAAAAACAAACACACAAACAAAAAACTAGAGCCTGAAGAGATAGCTCAGGAGACTAAACACATGATCTACATGCAGAATGACTGGGTTTGAACTCTTGAGCACAGCTGGAAATGACTCCCAAGGACTATGACAAAAGTAGTCCATTAGCACTGAGAGGTGTGACCCCAAAATAACAACAACACACACACAACAGAGAGAGCACACACAAGAGAGAGAGAGAGAAAGAGAGAGAGAGAGAGAGAGAGAGAGAGTAATGTCATGCTTCTTCAGGCTTCCATCTTTGTTTTGTTTACACTTGTTTTAGTTTAGGAAGAATTTTTCTTTCTTTTTTGTTACTTGGGCGATACCTGGAGTGCTCAGGGCTGCTCATGGCCTGTTGCTTGGTGTGGGTGGGGTGGGGGTTTGGTAACTCCTAGAGATGCTCAGGGGACTGCAGAGCTGGTGATGGAATACATGTCTCCTGCATGCAAAGCAAATGCACTCAGCCCATGGTGCTCTCTCTCAGGCTCCAGTTTAGGTAGCTATCTACTCACGTATTTTAGGGGTTCAATTTATGAATAGAGCTTCCATAGAGATGTTTACACATATATTTTGAAAATAACAGGCGTAACAAATTTTCTTTGAAAAAAATCTTTAATATCAACATACTCGGAATGTTTTGTAAATACAATATTCAATTTTAAAACACACATAATAAAATAACTTTTAGCAAGTTTCAACTGTTCTAATACTCAAGGAACTCCACATTGTGGCAAAGAAATGAACCTATTTTTGTTATACCAAAATGAAGATTTATCAATGTTCTAACATTGAGAAATGAGACAAAACATTATTAAGCCTACCTAGAGATCAAAAATGACTTCACAGACTTTTTCAGTTTTTATTTTGCTTCTGGGTAACATCCAGCAGTGCTCAGGAGCTACTGCAGGTTCTCTGCTGAGGGATTGCTAGCAGTGCATGGGGGAACCACGAGATGTCAGGGTTAAAATCCAAGTTTCCTGCATGCAAAGCATATGCTCCATCCTGTTGAGTGATGTGGTTCTTAATTTATTTTACATTATCTATTTGTCGTTCTGAATAATATGATAATCTGTTTAACAAAGGGTTACAGTTTTGAGAGCAAATAAGAAAATTTGGAGCTTGAACAGTTGTTAAATATAAAACTTCTTATATTATTGGCATATGTCTTCTTGTAGGCATTTGGTATATAGTAAATGTCTGAATGAGTAAATTACTCGTGAAGAGAATTTTCACATCTGTAAATTAAAGCTAATATCATTTAATACCGAGAATATTTGTAAAGAATGAGAACATGTAGGTGCCACAGTGCTGTTAAAAGAACTTTATAAAAAAAATTTGTGTTAGTAGGGTTATTTTGTACAAAATATCAAACTCAATTACTTTGCTTTGATGTAATATTTTAGTTACAATTATGTACATTTTAGAGGGAAAAATACCTTACAACCTATTTTAGGGAACACTGTAATTCAGATGACATCAGTGTCTTTTACCTTCTTTGGTAAGGCATTCAGGAAACCTGTTTAGTTAGTTTTTGGGGCCACACCCAGCAGTAATCTGGGAACCATATGGGATGCCAGGGACCAAACTTGGATCAGTCACGTGCAAGCATACACTCTACCCAGTGTACTATCGCTTTGGGCTCCCAAAATCTGTTTATTTTTTTTAAACATGACTTATTAGAAAATCTAAAGTCTGTATGTCCTCATTAATTTCCAATTTAACACCATTAACTTCTCATTGCTTTTTTTACAGCATTTAAAAAATTACATTTAAAATTAAAATGCTTCTTAAGAATTTAGGGCAACTGAAAAGAATAAAATCATGTCATATTCACCTTTTAATCAAGTTTTTGCCTTTGACTGGGTCTTTGAGACTAGCACATAAGGAAAGAATGATTGAACACAGAATGAATAGAGGTAGAGACAGTTTATGCTCATAAAAAAACATTTTCATGCAGAGAAAATTTGGAACATGTTTTTAGGACAGGAACAAGGAAATAACATGAACACATCAAAAGAAAAGTATTATAAAAATGACTGTAGGGCTGGAGAGATTGCTCAGTGGGATGAAGATCTGTGTGTAGGAAGCGTGGGTTCATGCATGGTTCCCTGAGCACTCGCTGGGAATAGATCCTGAGCACCACCAGGTCTGGCCCTTCCAAATCAAAATTGCAGACTGCCAATGTATTTAATAGTTTTATAATTAATGAAGATTAAGCATCAAGGCTTACGTATTTTACTATATTTTACTTTTGTGATTTTTTAAAATGTTGACAGACTTTGGGGAAGTGGCTCAGTCCGTTGGAGCACTTGTTTTTTTTTTTTTTTGCCTTCAGGAGCCCCAGGTTTGATCCCTGGAACCACATGATCCCCCAAGTATCGTGGGGTGTGACTCCTCCCAAATAAAACTATAATGTTATAGTGGCAAGGTATTATTTACCGAAGGTAGAAACCAGTGATATTAATCTTTTATTTTATATTGGGGAAGGATGTTGAACTGCATGAAAATTATATTCGGAAAACATAGTTTATATTCAAATGATTATTTTACTAAATTATTTTGAGCTATGAAGTAGATAGGGCTGGAGCGATAGCACAGCGGTAGGGCGTTTGCCTTGCACGCAGCCAACATGGCCAACCCGAGTTCAATTCCCCCGCCCCTCTCGGAGAGCCCGGCAAGCTACTGAGAGTATCTCGCCCGCGTGACAGTGCCTGGCAAGCTACCCGTGATGTATTCAATATGCCAAACACAAACAACAAAGTCTCCGATGGAGACGTTACTGGGCCCGCTAGAGAGACTTAATGAACAACGGGAGGACAGTGATACAGTGATGAAGTAAATATAACTGGTATGCTGGTGATTACATATTAGACTCAGGTTCAATCTCCAGCACTTCATAGTCTTCTGAGTACTGTCAGGAATGACCCCTGTGTACTCAGCTGGGAGTAGCCCCAAGCACCATTGGGTGTGTCTCAAGGACCCAAAAAACAAAGTCAACCCCAAAGAAGATATTAGAAAAAAATTTTCAATATCAAGGTACTATATCCAAAAATTAAGACAAATATAAAATGACTAACAAGATATACATAAAAAGATTTTCATAAATAGTTCTCTTAAGTGTCTGAAAACTAAAATAGGTTTCTTTTACCTTTGCTTTTGCAAAATCTCGTTGCACGGAAGGTATTCCTTACTAAAAGAATGGGTACTAGTACTGTAAAAAGATCATTTCAGGATCCAAGCAAATGTCATTTAAAGAAAAAAAAACAGTAATTCAAATAGTTGGCAAAAACAAAAACAAGGGTCAATGATTTAATTTTGCAGATGAGTGTGAAAGCACTTGCACTGCATGTGTGAAGTCCTGGGTTTAGGCAAAAAAATAAACCAGCAATTCCAAAATCATTAAAGTAATCATTAATTTACAGGAAAAATTTGTGATAATTAATATATTGTTACAAATATATTTTCATGTCAATGTGTCAGAAGCTCCAATCAGGAGACCAAATCACTCAATTTTGCATGTACTCATTAAAAAAATTTTTTTGCATGTACTCATTAAAAAAAAATTTCTTGGCAGAGGGCTGGGGCAGAGAAGCACATCCAGCGATGCTCAAGGGTTACTTCTGGCTCCGCATTCAGGAATTCTCATGGTGCTCAGTGGGATGCTGAGGATGGAAGCCAGGTCAGTTGCATGCAAGGCAATTGCCCTACCTACTGTACACTGGTTTGCCCCACATGTACTCACTTTTATATGATTTGACCTAGTGTTTGAAGGAAATTTGAAGGAAATTAGTGTTTGAAGGGAATTCCACTAAATATTTATCTAGTGAAAAGGGAAAGCCTTTACTTGTTTAACAGCTGCAAGAATAATTGTAATATACTGCTTTGTGAAATAATTAGCACTTGCATAGCTTAATCACAGACACATGTATTTTTAGAGAACTTTTTTTTATTTCTCTTATGCACTCCAGCTGTTCTATTTTATTTTTTCTAAAAAAGGAGTCAGAAGCAAGTTATGTGTAAGATAAAGTGGTTCCATTTTAAGTTGTAAGTTGTGAAGATAAAATACTGTAAATGATTTGTCTATGACTAAATTCTGCCATAAAATTTTTTGGGAAAAAAGCTAGAGTTTTGGTATCATTATGAGATTAGAGGGGGTTGGGCTAATTTTTAATATGGGGTGTTCACTTCTAATGCATCAATTTTGAAATTGAAAATGTATTTTTATGAGATAAAGGTTAGCATATATTTATCTAACTGTTCATTAAGTTAAAAGCTAGATCACAATCTTTATATTACCACAATGTGCTATCTTAGACAGTGTATATATTCAGCTACCAGATTTACTTGATGCCTTACTTAGCTTGGATTACTCAAGGATATTTTGTATATTTTATAACTCTTAAGGTCAAACTATTTTATGATTTTTCTAAAAACTAATATTTGGAGGCCATGATTACCTCTTACTGGTAAAAAAGTAGAGAATTCTGAAATAAAAGAACTTCACGTATACCTCAGAATTTTAAGTAAATTCTAAGTAAATTTTAAGTAAATTTTCCAAATCATAGTTCCAATAATAATTAGCATAAAATACAGTGGTTTTACAATCATACTTAATGTTGGTTAACTCCTACTTAGCATCTTATTTAGAATGTAACATGCCAACTTTGGTATATAGAGATTTTTTTCTAAAATAAGCTAAACACATTACTTGTCGTAGATTATTTCTTATAAGTCTTTTTAAAAGAAACACAAAACATTTTGTAAATGCACAATTTTGTAGAAAAAAATTAAACACATAATTCTCATATAAGGCACTTTCATTTCTTTTCAAATGTAAATTTCACCAAAAATTTCCTTTTTATTCTGTAATCAAGTCTTCATAAATTATACAGTAATAGTGTAGCTTCAAGTAAAACTTGATCAAATACCCAATTTTGACATAACTTCCTTGAATATTTTTTCTTTTGAATAAAATGAAGAATGGGCATCAAGTTCTATGTAAACTAATGTTTAATGAAGGTACTTGGTCTTAAAGAATTGGTAATATTTTATTTTGCTGATCTTGTTCAAGAATCTTAAAACCTTCCACAGGAAGATTGCTTAAGGCAGTTGGAAGAATGTGTTCTGATGTGCCCTTCGGTAATAAGTTACTTGCTTCAAGATTCTTCACCAAGCAAGTGGCTTTGATCCATCTCCGAGTTGCTCTACGTTCTTTTTGTAGACAAGTTTTCATTTTTCTTCTTAAGTTTGCTATTTCTTTTTCCAGCTTAATTATTCTCTTTTTTGCCTCCGTAGGATTCCTAAAGGCATAACTATGTTCAAGTAGTACTTGCTGATTATTGATGTTTGATTTTAAATTAGATGGTCCAGTTGGAATACAACTGTTGCTTTTCTTCAAAAGATTCCTTGACTTCAGTTTCTGATCCAAATAAAATTAGAGGATTGAACATAAATTATGAAATATACCAAAAAGTAAATTTTGTCCACTTCTGGATAATAGTATTTAAACTTATTTTAAAAAAACAATCAAAGTTTGAGAGGAAACCTCAGAAGCCTATCTCATGCTTTCATGGATTCACATTTCTCAACTAGGTAAATTAACATTTAGTTATCTGTTTATTTTTGTCCTTTTCTTCTCAGAGATACAAACACTAAATTTTGAAATAACACAGTGGACATAGTAGGTCTCTTCCAGATTACTGAGTATAATTCTATGGAGTCTTTAAAACTCCTTTGCAATGTTCTCATTCAGTTCAGTGTAAGATGTATTTATACATCTTGTATATCTGTGATACTGGTTTAAGTTTTCTCTTAAGCAAATACAATTCTCTCAGTTTTACTTATATTTCACACCAGGAGTTTTGCTTAATAAAAAATACTCCCAGTGTACTAAATTCCTGAACGGATTTCATTAATTGTTCGGTTACCTCTTCCATTCCTCCTCCACCAATCAGAAACCTTAGGAATGTTTCCCTTTAACTCCTTCAATTAGTTGTCAAGTTTCTACCTCCTGAGTATCTGTAGCATGGATTTTTCTGCTCCACTTCTAAAACCTCAGTCATGTAAGATATACGCTACCACTGAGTTACGTCCCTAACATGCTCCATCATTTTTTGTGTCACTACCAGCTGTGTTCTGGGCTTACTCCTGGTACTGAGTTCAGGGGACACTTTTAGTGGGGCTCAGGGAACCATATGTGGTGCTGCTTACAGAAGCCAGGTAAAAGCAGGCAAAGCAAGTCAACTTACCAACTGTACCATCTGTCTGCCCTCTGCATCATTCTTCATGCTATGAGGCCCATATCATATCTAGCTTGAATATGTTTTTAAAAACATTTACTGATCTGTGCTTCACTCTGATTCCCAATTATCCTTATTCTGCCACCAGAATAATTTTTCTAACAGATTTGATGTTTCTACACTTGCAAACTTTCTTTCTGCACTTCATTATCAAGAGAAAAATTTTTTCCCCCCTAGTCAGACTAAGCCATTTAGGACCTTATCTTATTTGACCATTTACTACCTTGAATTATATTCAGCAATACTAAAACTGTGTTTAGTTTTCAGACTATATTATAACCTCATGCTTTTGTTTTTCAGTCAATAAATATTTGTTGTTTTGAAAACATTTGTTGTATTTGAAACATATAGGAATTCACTTATGAATTCCTAGGAATACAATGGTGAACAGTTAAGACAAATATGGTTCTTGTGCTCATGAAACCTACAAATGGTATCCCTTCTAGTTGGAAGAAGGGGCAGACACTCTTTTTTGATCTTTACACTCTAAATTAACTTAGAAGCTGACATAATGTAAAGTTTAGTAAGAATTTGTTGAATCATTATATGACCAAACTTTCTACTTTCCTGTCAAAAATAGGTATAGGTCAATTTCAACAGGGTACCATAGGTATCAATCAGTACAGGAGGCACACAGACATAAAAAAGACAATGTTGCCTTGTTAGAACCTTTCTAATATCTCTTGTAACTAGTTTACACAACTTCTTCCCAAATTGTTACTAATGAATGTAAAATTTAACTGTAACAAATAATTCAAGTAGTGGTTTTTCCTCTGAAGAAGGATTCTGTCCTCCTCTTCAGCATAAAACCATTTTTTTTTTAAAAACCCTCTATTTTTATTCATTATATTTCCTTAGATCTCAGTGATCCTGTGCCTCTCAGAAGCTTTTTTTTTCTCTCTCTGATGATATTCCCTAACTTGCAATAAAACATTTTAAATTCATTCCTCAATTTCAAATCTCTCCATCCTTTTACATGTCACTTGGTAAGTTTTGGTTACTATTCACTCACCCCTTAACTCATGGCATTTGCTCTTATCATGATATCATCATTGCCTTGTAGTAAGCTCCAAACTCTAAACTCAAGTCCAGATCATATACTTGAACCTTATGAAGTGTTTTATATGCCTCCCCAAGTACTGATACACTCCATTATTCTTTAAGCTTTTCTTTAGGCCTACTGCTTAAAGAATAAAAGTACAGAAGCACAAATTACCTTTATATCTTCTTAAAATCAGAGTAATGTCAGAGGTATCATTATCCTTTGTTTTTGTAAATCATGGTTCAACTGTTGATAATAACTGATAGTAGTGAAAAAAAATTATAGTAAAATAATTTGGATTGGCAAAAGAATAAAAGCCAAGAGATCGTGTACTAATTCTAGACTGTACTTTCACTTCACAAATGAAATTTTGCATCTTCTGTGAGGTAAAAGATTATATATCAATTTCAATGTATTTGAAATTATTCCACTTTATAAAGAAAAAAGGGTCAGGGCTTAAAACTGATAAAGATGAGTATAAAAAGTAACACCACCTACCATAGACTTTATATGAGTACAGAAATCAAAAATGGTTGGAACAGCATCCATTTTAAGTCGTCTAGTTTGTCCCGTTAGGTCAAAACAGGAGGCTTCAAAGTGCTTTGAACAGAGAAAAGTGTGTTTTCCTGGTACAAAATTTTTGCGTCTGACCAGACGAATCCATTCTTTTCTTCTTTTAGGATCCAAAGGAAACCTTTACCAAAAAGAAAAAAAAAAGGCAACTCAAATTTCAGATAGCACACTGACTGCACATAAAAATTTAAAAGGTGCTAAAATAACTGTTTCTCATTGATACCAAACATAATATAATAAAAATAAAAAGTGAAGAAACCATTATAAAATCGTAATATCCAGATTATTAGATTAATCAGATTATCTACAGACTAAATTTTATCAAGAAAAGCTTAGAGGAAGATTCTTGTATTCGTTCCTGTTATGATACCACTTTTTTGTAATTTTTCTATCTTATTAAGTTTCCAGTGAAATACATGATTTTGCTTTTTGAAAACAATGGATCATTTTGTTTTCACATATTTAACTCTTAGCAGTCTTACAAATATTAGGTACTATGCATGCAGACTATTAAATTATTCTAACTTCAATATAACTGATAACACTTTTAAAAATAAGTTCCAAAGATAAGAGAGATAGTACAGTGGGAACTCTGTTTGCCTTGAATGTGGCCAACCCGGTTTCAATCCCTGGCACCCCACATGGACCCCAAAGTCCACCAGGAGTGATCCCTTAGCAGAGCTAAGAGTAAGCCATGACTCTGTAGAGTATACCCCATAAAAAACAACAACAACAACAACAACAAACAAAAAAAAAAAGAAAAAAAAACAAAGAAATTCTAGCTGGGCCAGAAAAATAGTACAAGGGTTAAGGTGCTTGGTTTTGGGTTTTTTTTGCTTTTTGGGTCATACCCAGCGATGCTCAGGGCTTACTCCTGGTTCATGCACTCAGGAGTTACTCCTGTTGGTGCTCAGGGGACCATATGGGATGCTGGGAATCGAACCCGGGTTGGTTGGCTGCGTGCAAGGCAAATGCCCTACCCGCTGTACACACTGATTTGTAGCCCATGTACACCTGTTAAGAGAAAAATAAAAACTGTCTCAAAATGCTAGTGGTTAAAAGTGTTGACTGGGGGCTGGAGTGATAGCACAGCGGGTAAGGCGTTTGCCTTGCACGCAGCCAACATGGCCAACACAGGTTCGATTCCCAGCATCCCATATGGTCCCCCGAGCACCGCCAGGAGCAATTCCTGAGTGCATGAGACAGGAGTAACCCCTGAGCATCTCTGGGTGTGGCCCAAAAAGCAAAAAAAAAAAAAAAAAGTGTTGACTGATCTGGCAGTGTGAGAATCATTAACATGTACTGCTTAACTTTTTAGTATTTTTTTGTCATACCCCATGCTGTGTGTGGGTTGTGGGGGGTGGTGGTGAGAGAAAACCAAGTGGTGTCAGTGAATGAACCCAGGATTCTGCAATGCAAAGCATGTTTAAGCCCATTAAGCCACTTCCTCAGTCAACAGTTCTTTGAAGAATAAAATTTGTACTGACTAGGGTTTGAAAAGAAACATTAATGTTAGAAGATTGTGTAGCTCAAAAGTTCCCAAAGGAACTTTCAGCATTCCCAAAGGAACTTTCAGCAGGTACCAGCTTCAGCTGTATCAAATATACTGTTACATGAACACAAAGAAATGGAAGCCCAGATCTACTGGTAAACACCTTCCCTTCTTTATTGGGTCACATCTAGTGATGCTCAAAGCTTATTCCTGACTGTTCTCTTGGATCATTGCTGAAGGGGCTAGGAAAACCATATTGGGTACTGGGAATTGAACCTTTCTATTCCTAGTCTTCCAACTGCAAATTCACTGTGATCCAAAGATATTAACATTTGTCTGTCACTCCACAATTCATATGAATTTCTATTTCATTATAACCCCCTTGAAGTGAATTATCTACTTGCTTAGTTCTTATCTATTAATAGTCAAGTATTCTCATTTCAAAGATATCTTTCAATATTTAATAGGTTGGAAACTTTTCATAAGCCCTAAGAGCTTAAAAATCAAGCTTCTAGGACCAGAGAACATGGTAGGGTGGGGTCTTGCCTTGCACACAGCCAATGCAGATTTTTATCCCTGGCCTTCCTTGCGAGCACTGCTGGGAATGTTTCCCGAGTGAAGAATCAGGAGTAACCTGTGAGAATCGCCAAGTGTGGCACCCTCCCTCCTCTTTCTGTTTTGCTTTTTGGGTCATAACCCAGCGATGCTCAGTGGTTACTCCTGGCTCTGCATTCAGGAATTACTCCTGGCGGTGCTTGGAGGACCATATGGGATGCTGGGAATTGAACCCGGGTCAGCCGTGTGCAAGGCAAACGCCCTACTCGCTGTACTATCGCTCCAGCCCCACCCCTCCTCTTTCTTAAGACTTAGTTTGGACCTGGAGAGAAAGCTCAATGGGCAGAATGCATGCTTTGCATGCAGGAGACCCAGGTCCAACTCCTGGCACACAGTTCCCCTAGTGCTGCTCCAAGCACCAGGAGTACATGAGCACGGAGCTGGAATATTCTTTTCTCCATCCCAGCATTGCCAGGCGTGGCTCCAAAATAAAAAAACAATAAAAGACTCACTTTGGTGGGAATAGGAACGTAATATAAAGGATTAGGACAAACGCCTTGCATGTACTGGACCCCAGTTCTATCCTCAGCACCATAAGGCCCCTGGAACACTTCTGGTGTAGCCCTGAACATCCTTCTGAGCAGCACTGTATCCAAAGACCCTAACATTCAACCATCTGGCAATTGGTCAAGAATTGTTGGAAGTGCCTGAGGTCCCCTGAATACCACCTGGGAGCACCTCTCCCTCCAATAAAACCCTTCAGTTTGGGAATTCCATCTTCCGAACTAAGTGTTTGATGATAATTAGTCTAGGTTAGATGTTCTTGTATCACATAGACCTAAATGTATTGCATTCTAATCACTACTTTTTCTGTCTCTTTGACTAAGTGGTAAATTTCTCCTATGTAGGAGTTCTTGTTTTCAATACTTTATCCTATGAAGTAAGTAGCACTGTAGCACTGTCCTCCCGTTGTTCATCGATTTGGTCGAGCGGCACCAGTAACGTCTCCATTGTGAGACTTGTTGTTACTGTTTTTGGCATATTGTATATGCCACGGGGAGCTTGCCAGACTCTGCCGTGAAGGTGGGATACTCTCAGTAGCTTGCAGGGCTCTCTGAGAGAAGCGGAGGAATCGAACCCGGGTCGGACATGTGCAAGGCAAATGCCCTTACCTGCTGTGCTATCACTCCAGCCACATGAAGAAAGTACTCAATGAATATTTCTCAATGAGTAAATGGAAAAACCAATGGGGATTGGTATTAATAATGTTTAGATGATCCATATTGGAATACCCAATTAATTTTATAATTTGAATTGGCTAGTTTTAACAATAACCTAGTCATTTTTGCAAGTTATTTGGATTTTATCGGCACTTTCAAAGGGTGATATACTTGATAAGCTGACTTCAATAAAAAATCATCCTGTGCAAAATTGCAAAATTGACATGGCGGTTACAGATGGTTATGCAGTATTAGAACCAGACTTTCAGAACATTAAAAGCTTTGGAAAATCTGTCAGTTTAAACAATGCTATTTTGTTTGGGTCTTACTCTCCTACGGGCTGATTTCAGAGTGATAAAGAAAACTGATCTCTCTTCACAGAGATTACCTTCTCATACTATACTCTTTACAGTGCCTTTCTTATACTTTACTATATGTAGTAGTATACTGTAGGAAGTATACTTATACTCTCCTTCTGTACCTTTTCTATTATACTACAGGGAGGATAATGTTAGTATCCTCCCTATAGTATAATACGAAAGGTACAAAATTGAATATCTGATAGAGTAGAAAATTGTCTAAGAAAAGTATCTGGAGTAAAACCACATGGTAATCTGGCTGAATGGCTTTAGACCTCAGTTTTGTCTTCTATAAAGTAGATAATAATGAACTCTAGTGTGGTTCAAAGTTTTGAATGAAACCAAGTGAATTCTTAGCCCAATGCACAGTTAATGGTAATGACATAAATGTTATTTGATATTAAATTACTATAAGTATCATGCGTGTTACAAATTAACATGAAGAGGGTCATATAAAACCATAAGATAGAAAGTCTAATCTAGAAGGGAGGTGTTAGGAGAGCAGGAACTAACTAGGGAAACAAAGGAAAGCACCTGGTATTCTTAGTAGACCCAGAAGAATGACATAGAATTATGTTGGAGGGCTTTCTAAGTTGCTGAGTAATTCTGAAGTTTATCCAAAATGACACTGGTAAGCTGTTGAAAGACCAAATTTAGAAAGCTGACAGTTAACAAAAAAAATTTTTTTTTTTTGGCTTCTTAGGTCACACCTGGCAATTTACAGGGGTTACTCCTGGCTCTGCACTCAGGAATTACTCCTGGCGGTGCTCAGAGGACCATATGGGATGCTGGGAATCGAACCCAGGTTGGCTGCGTGCAAGGCAAACGCCCTATCCATTGTGCTATTGCTCCTGCCCCCAACAAAAAATGTTTTAAGTGGTTGCTAAACACAGCCATTTTTAAATTAAATTACGTAAATACAATATGCTAAAAACAAGCTATTTCCTTATTATTGCTTGTACTTTTAAGTTATGTCTATTGCAGTTGTATGTTGTAAACACTATAGACCAGTGTGTACATTTCTTCCTAAATTCATCATCAGTGTCATGTTGGTATCTTAAATATGTTATATCATGAAAACTGGCCAAACATTACAAATCAGGACTTTCCTCTTTCCTGGAGATCTAGTTGTTAAACATTTAGCAACACCCTGCTCATTGTGAAAAAATTGCCAAGCAGTGCATGAACAGAACTATGATATAGTTAAAAAAGTAGTAATCCAATCAACAATTACTGGGAACTGTAAGAAGGGAAACTGACCTTCAAATATGTGTGGGTGGTGATTTCATCTACTGAGAATAGGCATATAGGAAGTGGGGCAGGCTTGGAGGAAGATTAAGGACATAGTTTTGTTACTGAGGTGCTAGGGTGGGATTTTAATGTAGGGCCCCATATACGGAAGCCATATGCTCTATGGCTTGAGCCCCAGCCCCTGTCCCTCATTAATAGTGCTGATCTGCTGAAAGTGAGGACAAATGAAAAACCTGTTAGTGCAGTATGCCCCAAAGTAGGCAGTACCACTTGGGGCAGGGGTGAGTAAGTACTGACATGATCCACGTGGGTGTTAGTAGTAGACACCAGTGCAACTGGTGTGCACGTTATTTAAAGATGATAGATTTCCAGGAGGGGATTAATCCTTTTCATTTTAACTTTTTAAAAAGGGTGGTAGGCCAAATAAGTTTGGGAACCCCTGGAGAATTATTTGGGAGGCATCAGCAAGTGGATAGTGAAACCAGAAGAACAGATGAAATTATTTTGATGACAGACCTAGATCAGGATATAGGGAGAAGGGCTAGCAAAGGAGAGTGGAGAGGTTATAACAACCAATGCTTCAAATATTACAAAAGTAGAGAGTATTTCAAAGAAAAATGTTCACATGCTATGGAAAGTAAAGTCAGAGCAACAACTCATCTTAACAAGAGCAATTTCAGATTACTAATAAGATTTATACTGGACTGGTCTAGGTAAGAAGAAAAAGGGTGACAGTAATTTAAGGCAACACAACTTGCATGTAGGAATAAAGAAGTCTACTAATATCCCAGGAGAAAAGTTAGGTGTATTTATGAGATAGGAATGCATTTTTATTATAAAAATTCTAAGAGAAATGTTGGAGGGGCTTCACATGAAAAAATTAATTTCATAGAAAGTAAATATTCAAATACGTAAAGGTATACATATTATTGGGCTGGAGCGATAGCACAGCAGTAGGGCCTTTGCCTTGCATGTCAGCCAACATGGCCGACTCGAGTTCGATTGGAGAGCCCGGCTAGCTACTGAGAGTATCTTGCCCGCATGGCAAAGCCTGGCAAGCCACCCGCGACGTATTCGATATGCCAAACACAGTAACAAGAAATCTCAAAATGGAGACATTACTGGGCCCACTCAAGCAAAATCGATGAACAACGGGAGGACATTGTTTGTTTTATACATATTATTACACTATGCATTTTTTAAACATTTACTTTTATTTTTCAAAATTTATGTTTTGCTTTTTGGGTCTACCCAGCGATGCTCAGGGGTTACTCCTGGCACTATGCTCAAGAATTGCTCCTGGCAGTGCTTGGGGGACCATATGGGATGCCGGGGATTGAACCTGGGTTGGCCCCTTGCAAGGCAAACGCTCTATTCGCTGTACCATCGCTCCAGCCCCTCTTTTAAAGATTTAATATTGACTCCCTCTCCCATATGAAAACTCACTAGTTTTCATATGTTTCTAACTTTTTTCCTTCTATCAATAGTCACATCTTCTAAATTAGCACAAGTTGTGCCAGCAGCTGAATATACTGTTTAGTTCCGTTGACACTGTAGTGGGAGTTCTTTGTGAAGGACAAAAAACGTAAATTATCAATCTGTAATAATTTTTCTCATCAGACTCATCCTCTCTCCATGATGCTTGAGCAACATTTTAGCACAATAATTGTGTACACTTCAATGAGTTTTTAATTTATTTTAACTTATTTTTAGTTTTTGGGCCACATTTGGCAGTGCTCAAGGCTCACTCATGGCTCTGTGCTCAGGGATCACTCCTGGCCATCTCAGGGGACCATATAGAGTGCCAGGGATAGAACCTCAGTCAGCCACAGGCAAGCATCCTACCCACTGTACTATTGTTGTCCTGGCAGTCAGTTTTTTTTTTAAACATGTACATCAAAAAAGATCAAATTTTTTTTTTTTTTTTACTTTTTGGGTCACATCAGGCAATGCACAGGGGTTACTCCTGGCTCTGCACTCAGTAATTACTCCTGGCGGTACTCAGGGGACTATATGGGATGCTGGGAATCGAACTGGGTTGGTTGCGTGCAAGGCAACTGCCCTCCCCCACTGTGCTATTGCTCCAGTCCCCCAAAAGACCAGGTTTTAAAAAACTTCTCTGAAAGCTTCTCATTACTCTATAAAATAGAAAACCATTCAAAGTAGCATAAAGGAGCCAATGTGTCACCCTTTCCTTTCATTTGATATTTCACATCCTTTGAGAAGTGTTCTTTGACTTTTCAAGGTCACTTTACATCTCCCTGAATGTCTCTTCTCTGGCACTTCACAGTAATTATGTCTTTCTTTCCCATTAACACTAAACACTGGGAGGCTAAGGTCTTTCTGGATCCCTAACACAAAGTCAGGCAGTAATCTGTAGACTTTCGATGGAAAAATGAAGCACTACATTTGCATGGAGTAGCTGAAAAACAGAAACATCACAAGTTGTTGTATTTGCTTTAAAGAGGCAGATTTTAATATGGGGATAAAACGAAGTGGGGAAAAGGTCAAGGATATGATTTTCTTAAACTGAGTGGTATATAAACCAGAACTGTTTTCATTTAAATCATTGCTTCTTTTCTTCAGGTACACGGCAGGTAATTGCAGAGAAGACGCACATTTACTTGTAGTGATCAAAGTGCTTTCAAGAGGTATGCTTTGACAGAACTAAAGAATTTTAATTGCTTTTCCCAGCAAACAAAGGCATAACAAAACACACCCTATTACTCTTGTCCTAGAAAGCTTGTCATTTGCGCTTAACATCGCTTACTCCCATGGCTACCAGTGACATTTTATCCGAGTTACAGTGACTATTAAAAGAAAAAAAAAATCCAAGCATTTCCCATGTAAATTCAGCTAGTGAGCATGACTAAGTTTAACGGGAACACAGCAGGCTTTAAAGATGATTGCTGACGTGAACAGGAACGCCTCTCTTCCTCTTATGGCATAATTAATGTCAAGACTCGGTCTAATAGAGAGGAGTAAAAAAAAAAAAAAAGGAAAAAAAAATTAGAGCATCCTCTAGTCACTTTCCCTGGTTAGGAGAGAGACAGCACGGGACAGAACGTGGATTTCTTTCCGAAAGCGAGTAAGCCTCCCCCGCGGGGAAAGGAAAAGCCGGACAGATCTGAGCATCACACAAAGGGCGACACGTCTCCCTGGCCGAGCTGTGCGGCGCTCTCAGAACGAGCAGGACCCTCGGCTTCCCGCCACACGGCAGCCCGCGCCAGGCGCCCCCCGGCTTCCCTCCCGCCCCGGCTCCCTGCCCGGATTACCTGTGGAAGCTGATGTTAATGTGCTTGTTGTAGGTGGTAGCACAGCCCGCCGCGGCGCAATTGGTCGGCATTTCCCTCGCCCCCTCATTCGGCGCAGCCTGCTACAGTTGCTTCGGGCAGAGGCTGGGCAAGAAGGGCATGGGGGTGGGGAAGGGGGAACCGGTGTGAGTTGGGGGGTGAAATCTACCGACTGAGTCGTGGGAACACGGTGGGAAGAAGGGGTGTGTGTGTATGTGACGGTGTGAGTGTGTGTGAGTGTGTGTGCGGACGTCAACCGGCTTTCTCTTTATTAATATGGCGGATTCGGGCCAGCGGAGCCGACACCGCTAGAGCCCCAGACGCCTACGCTTCCCTTCACCAACATGGCCGACAGGGCCCGCCCCCTTCCCCGGCCCCTCAGAGAGGGAGGGGCTACACCCGCGTCCGAGCAATTAAAAAGAGACCTCCCCCGCTCCCGGCTTCGATTACTACGAAACTCTCTAGTGGCGGAGATGTAGAGTAAGCCCCGCCCACCGAGCCCCTCTTCGCCAATGTCCGGGCCAGCCCCCGCAGCGGACGTCGGCGATAGGCTGGAAGGTGCACTTCGGGGAGGGAGAGAAGAGGAGAGAGCGAGAGAGAGACTGCAATTCCCAGACCACATCACGCTGTCCCGATGTTATCGCGCGAACTGGGAGCCTTGTTTCCGGCGAGCCGCCGGAAGTGACGTCTCGGACAGGCCACTTTCAGAGCCCCTTTCTCGCGAGGCGGAAGAGCCCCGATCGCGGAGGAGCAAGGGGGCGCTAGGGAAAGGAACTGGGTTGCGACGGTCCGGCGAGAAGGAGCTGGGGGTGCGGGGAAGTTGGGGAGCAGAGCCCGCTGGGTGTCCGAAAATAGGGTAAGGCCGCACTGACCGGGTCCGTTAGAAAAGAAGGGAACCAGGGAGGGAGGCAATTGTCGGGCGGAGCCCCGGACGGAGGGCTAAGGTTGAGTGCCAGGCGCTGCTCCCCGGATGGCGACCGCGGACCCTCCGGTCCCGGCCTCCAGTGGCCTCTCGCCTAAGGAAGAAGGGGAGCTTGAAGATGGGGAGATCAGCGACGACGATAATAACAGTCAGATACGGAGCCGGAGTAGCAGCAGCAGCAGCGGCGGCGGCGGTGGCGGTGGCGGCGGGCTGTTACCGTACCCGCGCCGAAGGCCGCCACACCCGGCCCGGGGCGGTGGATCGGGCGGAGGCGGTGGCTCCTCCTCGTCGTCGTCCTCATCGCAGCAGCAGCAACAGCAGCAGCAACAGCAGCAGCAGCAACAGCAGCAACAGCAGCAGCAGCCGCCGCCGCAGCAGCAGCTGAGAAATTTCTCACGCTCGCGGCACGCGTCGGAGCGGGGCCACCTCAGGGGACACAGCAGCTACCGACCCAAAGAGCCGTTCCGGTCTCACCCTCCCGCCGTGCGGATGCCTTCGAACTCGCTGTCGGAGAGCAGCCCCCGGCCGTCCTTCTGGGAGCGGAGCCACCTCGCCTTGGACCGTTTCCGCTTTCGCGGCCGGCCGTACCGGGGTGGGAGTCGCTGGAGTCGGGGGCGCGGCGGGGTGGAGCGCGGAGGCAAGCCCGGGGGCCGACCTCCGCTGGGAGGAGGACCGGGATCCGGATTCGGCGGCGGCGGCCAGAACTGGCGAGAGCCCTCTCCGCCTCGGAAGAGTTGTATCCTTAACGTGGCGGGCCGCCCTGGGTGTGTCACTTGCTCAAGTTCCCTGTAGCGTCATTCCTAGGTCCCGGGGACAAGTCACTATTCTGAACCGCCCGAACCGCTGGTTTTGTCGGTGTCAGCAGAAAGTGAGTTTTTCTCTGTGTTCTCCGCGGCGCACGTTGTGGGGTGGAGTCTGCCGATGACTTGGTTTGGATACGATGTCTCCCCCCACTCCTTTATTTCTCTGTTCCCCCCTCTCTCGCTCTTCCTCCCTTCCTCCTCCCCCTCCATTGTATTACGGATTGGGCTCAAATTTTTGGGGGGGCTCAAACTGAGATCTGGTTTTGAAGTCCAGATCGCAGTTCTTGGTTTTGCGGGCCTGGAACTTTGTTTTTTACGCGAACTTGGTTTCAACTGGGGTGTGTAATCGTCAGACATTGGGGAATCCTGTTCTTGTCTCGTGTTGCCCTCTGGCATTGAAAACTGAAGCTTCACTCTGTGTAAGCCTGTTTCTTTTTGTGTCTCAGGCTGGCTCTTAGTAACGTTGAGCTTTTAAATTCTTGAGCTTTTAAATTCTTCGCTCCTTAGCCTTCCTAGTCCTTAAGTTCTCTTATTTTGGGACTCTTGGTGCTCAACAGGGTGGGGCAGAAAAAGAGAACGGTTGGACAGCAATTTTTTTTTTTTTTGGGCCACTACCAGCGATGTTCAGGGGTTACAGCTGGCTCGGCACTCAGGATTACTCCTGTCGGTGCTTGGGGGACCATATGGGATGCCTGAGATCGAACCCAAGTCGGCCCGGAGATCGAACCCAAGTTGGCCGAGTGCAACGCAAATGCCTTACCTGCTGTACTGTTGCCCTGGCCCCTCAAGTTATGAAACTTATGCCCAGGATTGTTTTTAAACCCAAGTATTCTTGAGTCTGAAAGCAGAAGGGCTATTTAAGCACATACATATGTGTATTTTTTTAATTCAGAGATTAAACTTTTTGTTTTGGGCCACACCCAGCTTTGCTTAGGCTTATTGCTGGCTCTGCTCTGCTTTTGGTGCTTGGGGATCGAATCCTGGTCTGTAGTGTCAATGCAAGGATCTTACTCATTGTACTATTACTTTGAGCCCGCCCCCAGACTTTTAATTTGTATCGGAGTAGCAAAGAAATTAGAGTTGAATATAGAAAGTTTAAATTGAGCCATGTAAAAAGTCAGTTTTTCTATTTAATCTTGTTAGAGAAGGGAGTTCATGAGTTGGTTTGCATATAATCCAGCCTTATTTCATCCATTAATATATTACCAATTTGGCCTCAGGTTTATTAAGGTTCCACAGAAACAGGCTTATACTGTGAAACAAGTACAGGAAAATGTTCCATTTAATTGCTATAATAACTGTTCAGAATGAGCTGTTTGCTGTTTTTCTTTTCACAGGTGCTGCACTTAAGAATTAAGGATGCTTATTTTGATCCTCTGCCCATTGTTTTCCTTATGAAGTATCAGTAATCCATCCTTGAGGTGGTATTTGTAAGAATTTGTGAAGGAAAGCTTAGTTACCAGGCACTTTGTGTAATCTGAGCTAACAAAATTTGTAATACAAATTCTTTTAAAGTCAATTATACTCACTTTTAGTCATTTCTATTGTATGGTTATTATAATGTTGTTTTACAAACATTGCACAAAGAGCGAGGAAGAGTTACTCTGTGGCTCCTTTCTAAGACTGTGAAGTACATCAGTACAGGTTAGTTGGTGTGGTTTCCCCCACACCCCCTCCCAAACCACACCAGGTGCTGAAGCTTTTGCAAGCTCAGTTGCTTGGGTTTTGCCTCTCAGTGCTTGGGGAACATGTTCCAATAAAATTCTCACCTCCAGCATGCAAAGTGCGTGTATTAGCCCTTGGAATTATTTCCCTGGCTCAGTGAATTATTTACTCTTTTAAGTTTTTTTCTCTGTAATAATGTACATGGATAAAGCTGAAGATATTGAAGAAAACATTCTATCCCAGTTCCTGTTTTCTGTTTTCTTATTTTTTCATAGCAAAAGATGTTCGTTAATCTGTTTTGACATATGTCTCCTTTGAATGGACTGCTGTTTGAAACGTCTAAGTCTGATAAGAACTGACAATTATGCCAGCATCTCATCAGTAGGAAATCCTTCAGGTTTGACCTACAGCTATAACGGTCAAATAGCTATTTTTAAAACCAGGTTTCAATTAGAAATTAAAGCTTAAAAGCAAATCTTTTGAGGGTTAGTTTTATTCTAGCTATTTTATATAGTCAAGAGTAAAATTCATTTAACCTTGAAGTAAACAAGTTGTAGGCACAACTTGGTCGCATTCATCTTTCCTTTAATTATCTTTTTGTTGGTGTATTTACTCTTTGCCTTTACACACTTTTCTGAAGTCTCTGGTTCTTTTCTTCAGTTTCTGTGGGTTGTGCCTTTTGGTAGCTCCACTAAAAATGAGATAAATGCTGGTTATTTACACAATTTATGTACAAGTGTACTTAACAGTAGAATGAGGGAAGCAAGTAATTTTCTTTTAAGAGGTGAAATTTGTATTGAGTTCAACTTGAAGAACAGAAAAATCTAAACATAAAACTATACTTAAGCTAATGAACAGGAAACTGAGGTTAGACAGGAAATATAGGTCAAACCCTGAAGTCATTTTATGCGATTTAAGGATTTTGGGCTCTTAGATTTAAACAATGGAAGTGATCTGATCAAATTTATATTCCAGAAAGATTAGCTACAAATATGAGGGAACAGTTTGTGGAAGGCAGAATTCCAAATGTCTTTCAAAAACGACTTGCTGTATATCAAACTAGTGGAAATGCTTCTAGTTGCTCAAAATGAAGAGACAAAGTATAGGAATGCAGGAAACATTTGTGGATGGTATGGTGCTGGAATGTTTTGTGTATGAACCCCCTACCATTAACACTATTGTAAATCATGCTGCCTAAAGTAAAATTGAAAAAGAAGTGTTAGCTAAATTAAGCTCCCTGGAGAGCACCATTATTGCAGCAGTTGGAGGAATCATAAAGACTTAAAGGAAAAACAAAGTGGTAAGGAAGCCAGGGCAAGTGATTTGGTATCCAGTGCTGCAGAGATTATCAGGTGGAATAAGGTTTAAGCAACCTGGTCAATAATGCCAGAAGAAGCCAGATTATATTTGGTTCAAGAATAGGATAGGTAATAAGAAACTAATCTCAAGGAACTTGTTTGAAAAGATGAGCTCAGAGAACCAAAACTTTTCTAGAACAGTTTCATTTGCAGAACTGTTAAGATTTCCAGTTGCAGTGAGCAGTTTCTGTAGTATTTGCTGGTGATTTACATTCTTGAATTAGGGAAGTTTGAGAATCTTCACAAATTGTTCGTGTAAATTGTCATAAAGAGAAGTATATTTAGGGAACTATACTGTTCTAGCCTATTGGGAATTGGTCTGCAAGTCTAAATGTCAAGTTGTTTGAAAACTTTCTAAAGTGCTTTTACTTGATAATTTTGGGGCTGGAGAAGTGAGGTAACAAATCTCATAAATGATTTAAATAATTGATTTTGTCTAAAAATTATAGTTAAAAATATTGTAGCCATTCCCAAGGAAGAAATCCTGTTGCTGTTTGTCTATGTTAGAAAAGTGATGAAAAATCTTTGTTTTTGAATCCTTGTTAAAGAGACTTAAAAAATTATATAACTGTCTTCATTGTTTGTCATGTGTGGGATGTTAGTATGTGAGTTATAAGATTGTTATGATTAGGTTTTTAAGAAAATGTTTCTTGTTTGTAAATTAGTTTTGTCAGTGTC